GCCTTAGCACGTTTTACTTGCCTTTGAATGAGAGTCGTTGTTCACAAGTATATTGTATTCTCTCTTTTTTGTGATAGTGACTATTATTTCTATTGTAACTATTCGTAAATGATGCTCTTAATAGACTCTTTTATTCGCCCTCTTAGTTACATATAATGATACGGCGGATGAGGTGAATAATATGAAAGCGAGTTGTTCCAGGAACACACTACTTTGATAATGGCCCCCTTTCACCTTATTAACTATTGGCTACTATTCGGTTTGAAATATGTTCAAGCTTGTAGGTCTACCTATACTTAACTAGTTATAGACGTATAGTACCTTGGGTATAATCCCCAAAGTAAATGACACTCGAAGCGGAGAATAGTTGAAGGATAACAGGTATTTACCTGGTTGAACTGATACAACACTTCTTCCTAACAATGCTTGATGTACGACACCAAGGCTAAAGGGCTTATTCATCTAGTGTTAGTAGAAATGTAATCTGGTAATTGGTATGGTTTAAGGTGAATGGTTATAGTATCTGAGAAAATTTATTGCATTCATATGATATTCATACTAAAACTCTAGTCCCCCTTATGGTTCTCGAATATGGTCTATACTGAGGATCTTTCTAGAAATCACACTACGCCGATATTAGACTAGCGACACCAACAAGGCTACTAAACCTGTCGGATTTCTTTCCCAACCATCTCGGGCCGTTCTATCTCCCACTCATCCCGGAGTACTGCAAATGTCAGGTCGCTGACCAGCAGACTCTGACCTAAACTCCAAACCAGAGTAATGGCGTAGAAGAAGTTTGCATTTCCGCTGCCGGCATAGATCCACAGGTAATAGAAGGAAGGGCCTAAGAATGAGGAATAGAGTATGGTTGAGGCTGCTAAGAAACTATATCGTAGAAGCGGAAATACGTGTCTGAACAGTGGCACCATGGCAAGGAATAAACTCGTATCGGCAATGTTGGGATATGGCTTGAAGATGGCGAATATTCCGAGGATTATAGTTAGTACGGCAAGTGGTTGTGACCGGATGCGAATCGAGAGTCCCCCCACGTAACATGATAGGTGCAACCAGAATACGCCAAGGAAGAAGGCGCGGAAGCTGTCGAACATCTCGATAAAGAAGTACCACCATAGTCCAACGTTTGGTGTTAGGTCGGTTAGAGTCAATTGGATCCCGTAGGTCGAAGCAAGGAATTCCCAGGACCCGGTCAGGAGATAGGAGCCGAGGAGTAGGACCGAGAGACACAGACTAACAGCTGCCACATTGATGCCGGCGAATTGTAACAGCGACGAGGTCCTTCTTGAGGCATGTTGCCGGTCGTATGCCAAGAGTATTAACGGAGGGAGGAGTAAGATGGGATACATGGAGAGGTAAGTAGCGAAAGAGAGAGCTAGCATGGAGGTAAAGGGGTTGCCAGCTATTGCCTTTACAATCGCATGTAGTATGGCGCATGTAGTAAAGACATTGGTAGGTCGACCCATGCATGTCGCGATCGTGAATGGGTTAAAGAGGAAGCTATACGGAGTTAACATTAGTCAAGATTCATATAATAGCCAACAGTTGCAGTATAATGACATACATGGCCGCAACGATATAACCACTCCATCTCCTTTCCTTACGGGCCGAGGTAAAGAGTTTCGATGCGCTGGCTTCGCTCGACTCGGCGATCTTGTAAAGCGCATCTGCACTGAGCAGGTCGACTATAATGTAGAGGATATACGCGAATATAGGATACGTCGACGGGTCTGGGAGGAGAGAGAAGAGCGGGAGAAGCAACGGTGCCTGGTGGTAGACGCCGCCATCGTACGGCGAGACATTATGATTATACAGGAATAGGCCCTCCTGTACTGTAGAGATGGTAAGCTTATGAACTAGTATCTTCAGGAAGAAATAACATTGAATATATCTGCCTTACATCGCTTGAAGCTTGTTACGGGGGTCGAGATCTCGACGCGGGCCGTCAGCAAATCGGGAAGTCCAGGAAAGAAAGCGAATAGTGTTAGTCGTAGCAGAGCAGCGGCGGCATATAGACCGGCTGTCTCTTGGAAATGCATTTTATCGCGTTTCATAATGCAATGCCATCGTCGACGACGGTTTAGTTGTTATTACGGATCCGCACTTGGAGTTGAACTCAAAGTTGGACTCAGAGTTGGACTCGAGAAACCGAGATTACTAAGTTGAATGAATGTTGCTGCTTAATTGTTCGAAATTCGGAGTCAACGACTTCTCAACCTATCCCGTGTCTTTCTTGGCTCTTTCCAGCTCGACGTTATTTCAGGGCAAGGACAGGGATCTGTTTGCTTTTGCGGGACTGCATTGGTGGCAGCTATCCTTATCGATAAAAATTGCTAGAGCAACTTAGGATTAGCCCCGGACCCCAGGAAGCGGTCAGAAACGGCAATTCCAATCTTCAGAGCTAGCAAAAGAAAAAAAGTTGCGCCCCGCCGAACTTTTTTCTAATCCAATTCGCCCATAAGTCGATACATGCCTGGCTGGTCGACTGCTCAATTACTTTGAAAAAAGGACACAAAACAAGACAACTAACCAAATCCAAGTCGCCAAAATGGGAAGGATAAAGAAGAAGGGCGAGGCAGGAAATGCTAAGAACTATATCACGAGAACACAAGCTGTGAAGAAGCTCCAGATCAGTCTTCCGGATTTTCGAAAGCTATGTATTTGGAAAGGGTAAGGCAATTCATGCGCCCATTGAGCAATAATGATTCGCATAGTCGAATATCTGTTAACCTGAACTTCAGAATCTTCCCCCGAGAACCAAGAAACAGGAAGAAGGCTTCTAAAAGTTCGACGGCCTCCACCACCTTCTACTATGCCAAGGACATCCAATACCTTTTGCACGAACCTTTACTACAGAAGTTTAGAGAGCAGAAAGTTCTCGAGAAGAAGATCTCAAGGGCGCTTGGCCGTGGCGATGTCAACGACGCAGGCCGACTCGAGCGCAATGCTTCAAGGCCTGAGAAGACAGGCAAACCACGATATACTCTCGACCATGTCATCCGAGAACGATACCCGACTTTCGTCGATGCGGTACGCGACCTTGACGACTGTCTCTCTATGCTATTCCTTTTTGCGAACCTCCCATCTACATCCACAGTCCCGGCTAAAATGATCGCGCGCTGTGAACGACTTTGCCTTGAATTTGAACATTACTTGATCGTATCGCAGAGCTTGCGCAAGTCTTTCTTATCGATCAAGGGTATTTACTATCAGGCAAATATCCAAGGCGAGGACGTCCTATGGCTTGTGCCGTACAAGTTCAACCAGAGAGTTGTAGGAGATGTCGATTTCAGGATCATGGGTACTTTTATCGAGTTCTACATGACCCTCTTAGGTTTTGTCAACTTCCGGCTATACACTTCAGTTGGTTTGAAATACCCGCCCAAGTTTGACCAGACTAAAGACGATGCAGCTGGTGAACTTGGCGCTTTCCAGCTCGAAGGCAATCTTGCGACAGCCGTATCAAACGAAACACCGGCGCAGCTGACGAACGGCGACGCGGAAGCGGGACCGGATCCTAAGACTCAGGCCGAAGTGAACAAGCTTATTAAAGAAATGCGAGAAGTAGACGTCGATGGTGATCGAGTTGAGATTGACGCAGACAAAGATGAGGCTATGGCAAATGCGATTGACAAGTTCGAGCCAGCCGCACCCGGGGGTGATATTCTACCCCAGCCAAGCCACTCGGGAAGCGAGCCCGAGTCGCTTTTTGCGAACTGCACGTTCTACTTATCCCGAGAAACACCAAGACAGTCTCTAGAATTCATACTTCGTGCGTTTGGTTGCAAGCGTATTGGCTGGGATGCCGTCCTAGGCGAGGGTGCATACACAACCAACGAACGGGACCCATCTATCACACATCAAATAGTCGACCGTCCAGTCATACAAGCTGCTACGGAAGAGGATGGTAATGGCGAGGACAACCAGACAGCACAGAAACTTGCATCGAACCAAAGGATGCCCGGCCGAATTTACGTCCAACCACAATGGGTTTGGGATAGTATCAACGACGGGGAATTGAAACGGCCAGACCTCTACGCTCCTGGGGCTCAATTACCACCTCACTTGAGTCCATTTGTACAGAATACTCAAGGAGCTTATGATCCGACAATACCGCTAGAAGAGCAACAGACCGAAGGCGAGGCATTGGAGGATAGCGAGGAAGAGATAGATGAAGACGAGGAAGTAGATGCTGATGAGAATGATGGTAGCCTTGCGGTTAAGAAAATACAAAGCGCGGCTGACAGCATGGATATTGCTCAATCAGATGAAGATGAGGATGAAGATGGTGATAAGGATTCTTTCGGTGGATTCTCAGACGAGGAGAAAGCAGCGAATGAGTCAGATGACGACGAGCAAGCTGCCGAATTGCAGTACCAGCGGGAGCTCGAAGCTGAATTAACGGGCAAGCCGATTAAGCAGACGCCTTCAAATCCTCAGTCCAAGGCTAAGGTGGAAGCGAGAAAGCGACTCGCGAAGCAAGCCAAGGAAGAGGCCGAAGAGCTCGAGAGGGCGAAGGGAATGCTTAGCAAGAAGAAGAGAAAGCTGTTTGAGCAAATGCAATACACTAACAATAAGAAGAGCGCAGAGGACCAAAAGCTTAGGGAGAAGAGGAGAAAACTGGAAAAGCAGAAGGCAAAGGAAAAGGCGTAGATGTTTATTTAGAGGTACATCGGGTAGCTGTTTTGATAATACCATCGCAAATATTTCTTGCGGAATGACTATGATTGCACCTATATTAAATGTGACTATTGAAATGAATATTTCAGCGGGAATAGTATCATGGTCCTGTTTTGAGTTTTGTGGTTTTAGTTGGTTGGAAAATTTTATGTTTTCAATTGGTGAATGCCATGGTGACTAAAACTATCCAAAATCAACATATTCAACTATACGTAACTTGGTCTTACAGTTGATTAACACGTCGATACTGTTTCTCACCACAGCTTAATTAACTCTAGTCTAAGAAGGCTAGCACAAACAGTATGGCATCAGCTGCGGACGAGTCGGATGAATATTTACAAGGCGACGACTCTGATGATTTTTCGGACGAGGATGTGCGGGCTAATAGGTGGCACGGTCCTAAGTCCACATGGCAGCGGTTCAACCACGAGGAAATAGATACGTTAACAGCGCTGAAGGAGATTCGCGATAGGGACTTATCAGTTCATTTATACAATGCATTTGCGCTTAAGCAAGGGCATAGGAAAACGCAAGATGGACCGGTGCCTAATAAAGTGTGTTCACCTTAACCATCAAACAAACGACGGAACGCGTGCTAACTGGAAAACACAAGGATATCAATGAGGCGACCGGACAGCTAGTTCAACCCGACGACTGGCTGCCGCAACAGGCATGGACGGCTTGGCCTATGCGCGCGGATAAAGTCCCACCACCGCAGGACAGCGCCAGGAGTCTATTAAATAGTCGGGATGAGAGATTCACGTTAAGAAAGGCCGTTCGTGATATGCCGAGCACGGCCCTGGAAGAGATCATCGGCGCCGAGATCTTAAAGACTGCTAAAGACAAATTCAACGCTAGGCCCTGGGTCAAGCCGGATGTGTCTGATGAAGAAGTAGATTCAGAATTGCAAGAAGATATTGACGATGAGGATTCGGGTAGAGAGACGGAGGCTTCTACCTCGTCTAGACGTAAGAAGTCCAGGTCTAGGTCTAAGTCTGCTAAGCTCGAGGCCATAAGTGGAGATGAAAAGATGGACGTTGACGAACTCAAACCTGAAATCGATCCTCTCAGCAAGTCGGATAAGAAACTGAGGCTGAGACCGGTAATCTCGACAGATGACGACTTATCCTACAGTCTCTTGCGCCCATCCGTCCGGCATATTCTCACCAAGCTAGACGCGACACTCACTATTCTCCATAATACACAAGAGTCAGCTCTGAATTACCAGTCCGACTCAGCGGACTCAGAAGCGTCAGACACCTCGCATCCTAGTAGCCGAAAGCCGCGATCTAGACAGGGCTCGCAGACCCCAGCTGATGGAAAAAAGCGGCAAGGCAGGCCACCTGGATCTTTATCTCAGAATCGATCTCGCAGACGGTCAAAAGTGAGGGAGGTGACAGTACCGCCGGCAGAAGACTCACCTCAGAATGAGGAAGAAGGAAAACCCACTAGGAAGCCGGGTAGACCGAAGAAAGAATATCCTCGCCTCGAGGGCGAGACCGACCGAGAGTATGCCATCCGCATCGCAAGATTACAGAAAAAACCTATCCCTATATTTTCTGATGACTCCGACCCAAAGCCCGATTCTGGCGCAGAAGACCCGGCGGGAGACAGCGGTAACTCCGGCGACGGGGAAGAGACCACCGCCGAGACAGGTCGCGGAAGACGAACACGGCGAAAGAGAAAGACAAACAAGGACAGCCGGTCTCCTTCTCAGGCCTCACCTGCTTCCGGAGGCAAACCCCGTAATACTCAAAGATCCGGACACTCAAGGACCCGTCTCGGCCTCCGAGACTGGAGAGATGTTCTCGGCGCTGCGGCACTAGCCGGTTTCCCAGCAGACGCAGTCGACCGCGCAGCAAGACGCTGCGCCGACCTCTTCGGGCAGAGCATGACGCTGCATACCCTCGCCGAGGGCCCAGCCGTCTCGTCATCTGGCCGGAAAGCTCCCCTGGGAAGGGTAACTACGTATGTTCCTGGAATGCCGCAACCGCCCTTGCTAGAAGAAGAAGAGGAGGAGGAAGAAGAGGAGAACCAGCGTACTCGTTCTATGAGCATGGCTCGCAGCGCAATATCCGAAGACGAAGCCGGCCCGTCTCAGCGCCGCGCACGCAGCCGCTCGCGATCTCGGTCTCGGTCGCGGTCTGCGTCCGCGGCGCCGGGATACTTCACGTGTTTATTCCCGGACTGCCCTCGCGCCGCGGAAGGGGAAGGGTTCCTACGCCGGTATAACATGTTGCGGCACATGAAGCTGGTGCACGGGTACACGCCATCGGAAGGGGGGAGCGGAGACGAGGCTACGGCTACGGCTACGGCGACGGCGATGGGGGCGGGGATGCGGGAGGAGGTGGATAGTGAGGACGAGATGCATGGTGCTGTGCATGTCGATTGGTTCTTGCGCCCGGTTAAGATTCGTCGGGGATGGAGGGCGAATGATGTTAGTGAGGAGTCTAGGACTAGGAGGAGCGGGTATGGGTATGCGCGGGGACGGGGGAGGAGTCGGGGGAGAGATGGGGAGGGGGAGGGGGAGAGGGAGAGAGAGAGGGGTGGTGAGGATAGAAATGGGGATATGAGGATAGGTGGGAGGAATGATTGAGTATAAGTATGATATTACGAGAGATAATATCTTATTTAACTATGTAAAATAATGGGTTTACTTTTATTATTTATTTATTTCTCTTTTCATTTATAACCCTACCCTATCCATTACCCCTATCCCACATCACGACTTCTCCTTCGCAGCAAACTGCCTCTCAACCTCATCCGCGAAATCACCCAAAGTATCAAACCGCCATCCAAACGCCACCTTATCCTTCAACTCTGTATAACTGCCCCCCACCCCCTGCGCGTCCTCGCGCTCCCCGCCCCTCGATATCCACACACTCGGCAGCCCCAGCTCCTTCGCCGGCACATGATCCGCCGTCAAGCTGCGCGCAACATGCAGCAGCTCGCCCTCGTCCCTGTCGACGCCGAGATACGCGCGCAGGTGTCCGAACAGGTACTCGAAGTTGGCGTGCGACGGCTTGTACGACCCGATGTCCTGCGCCGTGCAGACCGCGTCGAAGCGCGCGGGGGCTAATCGCTGGTCTACCGTTGCCGCGATGTTGTTGTTGTCGACGTTGGACAGGATAGCGAGTTTGTAGCGCTTTTGCAGCTTTAGTAATGCGGGGATGGTGTCGGCGAATGGTGCCCAGGACCCGGGCGAGTTGCCGAAGGGCTCGGCGATGCTGTCTGGTAGTCCGGGGAGCTTGAGCTCGTCGCGCGCGAAGGCGGTGATGGACTCGGCGAGGATCTCGTTGTAGAGGAGTGTGGGATGCGTGTGCTCGTAGACGTCGGTGATGGCGTTGAGGCGCCGCATGGCTTCTATTGGCGGGTCCGTGTTGAGGGGGTGTGTGGGCGGGAGCTGCGAGGTGAGGATCCGGACGGTGCTTAGGAAGCCGGTTTCCCAGTCGATGAGTGTGCCGTAGCAGTCGAAGCTGGGGGGGGATTTAATTAGTATATTATAGACGTTTAGACATCGATCGAAGGAGGGGCTTGTTTACCTTAGAGCTTTGAAGCCTGTTAGGTCGGGATATTTACTTTTGGAGGCCATTCTTTCTTCTTGCCGGGTCAAGTATATTAAGAGATCGATTAACTAGAACTAAGTATTTCAAGTGATTTGTAGACGTTTCGAAGATGGTTAAACAAGCATCTATTCGTATATAAGTTCCTATATTCTCCTTCCCCTCGAAAGTTTCGCTGGCGTCACTCACGCCTTTATGTACAAGACATTACATCACATACCCTAACTGTGCAGGCCCCTCACGGCTGTCTCCAAAAATTCCCAGCTCTATATGCACGATGCTCCCTAAAGTGCGGAGGAGCAGCAAATCATCGCACTAGCTCTTGATGTACAATAGCTAACTGCCGTATTGGGTAGATCTAAAAGTTACGTTCTCCAAGTTTTACGGGGGTGAATGACGACAAGGGCGCGAATGTCCGCCGGAAAGCGGAGATCAGGGTAAGATTGAAATTCGGTGCTTCTAAGTGAGACCGTAGCAATTTAACGATGTTCAAATGATTTGGGCAATTATGAATTGGTAGATCTGTAGAATAGATACTATACTTCATATGTCTATTTCCATGTAATAGACCGGCTCGAGGCGCTTTAACCCCTGAGCGATATCCGAAGCGGGTTTATTGTTTCTGCTCAAGTAGCCACTTTACACCCTTGATGGTGTCTTCCACGAACTCGCGGCTTCTGTCTAGTTGCGGCCAATTGGTCCAAAAGTAATGGCCGAATCCCTTGTACAAGTCTAGCCGTGTCTTAACGCTTGCCTCCTCTCTCAAAATCTTCTCGTAAATTAAAGCCTCATCTCTCAGGGGATCCAGTCCGCAGACCTGAAAGTATGCAGGTGGCAGCCCACGGTGTCCGCCCTCAAGTCCCCCGTATAGGAAGGGTACCATGCGCGGATCGGACCACGATGCTTTGAGGGTCTGAGACACTTGCTCGGCGAATTCGGCGCCGACTTTGATCTTGAGCACTGGGTCTATGTTAGACGTGACGTCTGGGTGCGAAAGGTACTCTGATCGATATTGTGGCGGGATCAATGCTGGGGGAGTCAGACACATTATCGCTGGCACGCAGAGGTATTGTCCTGTTAAGGGTGGGTTGAGCTTCCCGTCCCGTGCGATGTGCGCGAGAACAGCTGTGATGTTGCCTCCGGCTGAACCGCCGCCGATGATGAAGCCAAGAGAAGGGTCTGCGCCGAGGGATGCTGCGTTTTGCGCTGCCTGCCCAGGGTAGTGGTAAGCATATGGAGGGTCTTGTTGATATATGATGGGTAGGTAGAAAATAGAAAGAAATGCCTACCCATTTCAATGCATCCCAGCTATCATCAATCCAAGTAGGGAAAAGGTGTTCCGGCCCTAGACTATCATCGTGCATGTTCTATTAACTTGCTATATCCATGCCTGAGACCCTTTGTAGCTTCTACCTGTACATGAAGAGGTATCCGCATTGTTACTCAAACATCTCACTTAGCTCACTTACCGATAGTCAACATTGACGCAGACAGCCCCTAGATCGCGACTGAAAAGCCGGCAATTGGTCTCTTCGTCGCTCAAATCACCCATGCTCCACCCGCCTTCGTGATACATCACGACTAAGGGGCTTCCTTGCGTCGGCTTCACTACAGGGCGATAAATGCGCACCGTGATCTCACTGCCATCACGCACGGGAATCTTGCGGTCCTCCTCGCTAACCTGCTCTAAAATTGGCCCTGGAACATAGCGGAGGTGGTGTTTTTCACGCAGAGTAGTGGCCCGGTGTGCGCGCAGCGCCGAATGAGACTCGTCTCCGTAATACGGATCGGATGGTAGTGGGTCCCGGACCGGACTACGGGCTAGTGCCTGTTGTCATGTCGGCAAGTCCTCTTAGAGAATGATATGCTCGCCTCGGATAGAAACTCACGTCTACCATGGCCGGGTCCATTACTCCGTAAGAGAGGAGCTCTTCTTTAGTACGAGGTGCCATAGTTAATATCGTCTGGATACGCTAGAGAGAAGAAACACAAGTAACAGCCAAAGTAAGGCTAGCCCGGGAATAGTTACGCTTACGATATTACCTGTCGGAGTCGTCGAGAGCAGAATGTAAGACAATGAGGAGTACACCTCGGCCGAACGTGCAGTGACATCATTTCACTCTTTTCCCGAGCTTTACTCTCATATAGCGATGTGGGTGGTGAATCATTTTGGGGATAATGATATTATGATATCGATATTCATCATTTTATCGGATACATCTACGAAATTGATATATCGTCATATGTAATTCGCATATGTCTCATTCTATCTGCAACAAATATGTTTTAGTCTCAACCGACAGACTTCGACGTGGCAGTAAGATTGGGTAAATAACTCTCGAAATACTAATTGAAGGCTAGTCTACGGAGCTATTAGCGGTTGGTCCGTATCGACCGACACTTTTCGGCCGAATCCCCCGCAATCGATCGGGACTGAGGTTTACGGCTTTACGCATAATGACTTTCGGGTAAGCTGACGAGCTTGATCTGAGGATCAAGGAGCACGTAGCATGAAAAAGGAATTTTGACTTCCTGAATAGGCGTTACACATATAAGTCAGGACCTATGGTTGGTAGTTTCGTACTTGATGAGCGGCGTGGTAGCTCATGCGGTGTGCAAGAGTCTCCTAAAGCGAGATCCTAATCGTTGCTGAACAGCTTACTCAGTCCGGACTACTATATTGAATACCTTATTGGCCAGGCGCTGGACTAGTTAACTCCCCGTATCGTCCTTTCGATCGGCGAGCGGCATCCAGGTTCTCGGTCCCCCGCAGAGCCAAGGCTTGACCCCGAAGTTGGAAAGCCAGGTTTCTAAATGGTGAATATCTATTCGATTGCAACCCTCCATTTTATTCGTGTAACAGCGGTGTGAGAATGATCTATTTATTCTCCGAGATGGTAACTAATTGAATACATTGGCACGTCTACCTTAAGAGGATAGTGTTTATGCGGAGAAAGTCTTGACGGCGGCAACAACGCAGCAGACCCAACCAGCCAAATCCACCGTCAATGTCCTCCAATTATGAACATAGAGCCAGCCCTTTAGCTCACTCACATTCTTCTCCTTGGCGTCGCCGGAGATGGCTCGGATTTTAGGAAGAACGAAAGGGAAGTACACTTGGTGGCCAAGCGCGAACACGATAGCACCGGAGTACCAAATGAACGAGCCGCGTTCGTGCAGGAGGTTGCCCGGCGCGTACCGTAGGTTAGCCGCAGATGACAAGATGGTGATGAGAAGTAGGCCAACTACGCGAGGCGCGCCACGGTCGAAGAAGGTGCTGAAGTAAGACGGTAAAAGCTGATTGACCAAGTCCCGTTTGCTTGGGTCGAGAAATAGCTGTAGAAACTCGTACTGGTCCCAGCCGAACCACAGCGAGCAGGTAGACGAAATGGCGGGGGTGATGCGGAGTAGCGCAATCGGATCGAAGAACAAGCCTGATGCCATTTTGGTGAACCCGTTCCGTTCTAGCAGATGGTATCCGAGATGTGCTTAGCCGCCGAGACTTCGGTCTTGTGAAAAAGGTATAGTTTAGGCGGTGTATGTGTGGTATTCGGAATTCCAACACAGAGCACGTCTCGTTGACTATATAAACGCTACCGATTTGGGGGGTAAGTAAGCCTACAATATGATTTGATAATCGAGTGTACGACGAGGGTTAGATGGGCTACATTAGGACTTATACGTAATACTATATATCCGAAAGATGTCTGTTTTCGATGCGGTGAGCTTTAAATGAAGTCCAGGGATCTTTAAGCACATCGTAATTCACATCCAATCATGGTAGTTATTTTTAAAGAAGCTGAATAGACTAACAAGCCCGAAGGATCGCATCGCGATATTGCAGGACTTGGGGTATATTTGACTTGCAGAACTTGTGTAGATGATTTGATTAATTGCCTTTAATAATTCATCCTAATCTTCGTCTTATCCATTCATTCCGTGGAAATTTTCCCCGAGTCTTAGGTACCTAGGTAGGTAGTATTAACTTGAGTCCTATGAGCGTAGCTGAGCTGTTGCATGAACACTGATCCTACGATGACGAGGATCGAGATCTAGATCGAACTAAAAGCCGAAGTTACGGCTGAGTATAGAATCCTTCTTGTTGCGCAATATCGTCGTAGAATTATGATTGAGGCAATGATAGTGATGTGTTTACGGCACATTACAAGCTAGGTAAATTTCATAGGCTATCAGCGTTCAGGAGAACCCGATACTGTCATCAGCCCCCATTGAGACTTGACTGCCGTCGCATTGCATGCATAAGTGTCGGTAGTAAGGGTTACTAAACTGACTAGGTGCATATAGATTCCCTCCATTTTCGTGTAAGCTGGAGGATATGTAATTCTATTTTACGTTTTTTGGAACTCATCGGTAGTTGGATGCAACCGTGCCTAGCAGTAAGATGATATGCTTACAGGCTGCTGCAGGGTGCCTGATGATGATGATGAGAACGTTAACGTCTATTGGTTGCTATAGGCTAGGTAGCTACAGCGGCGCATCTATGGCGCTTTAGACGTCTAGAGTACCTCGACCTTAGAGGGAGACAGAGCTAGAGTTTCGCCTGACATGAGAGATCTTCCACTTCCTGCCTATGCATTCCACCCCTTCCTGCCTATGGCATTACTTTACCTGGTTAGCGCCGGCGCCAGGTAGCCGACTTTAATCAGGAGAAAAACCGTCAAACACGCCTTCTTATAACGGAGATGGAATCACCCTCAGCGCCCAGCGTGCCTAAGGAAAAACCTGAGTCGGACCAGTTTGGTTTGACCACAGTGGGATTCGAACTGCAGGGTGCCTGAAAGTCCCCTAGGGTTGTGCAACTTACCAAGTTCAGGGGTATTTTAGCCCCGCGGGGTAGAAAACCCCCAATCGTAACAAGCATGTAAATTTTACTAGCTTCATAGATAATATTATCTACCAACGATCATCACTATTTACTCAAAGTATCTATTTAGGTATGAAACTCGTAAACATATGTATTTCAAGTTGGCTTTTCTTCGAAACCATCTACTATAACTAATAACTATAATATAGTAATATCTACTAGTCCAGAGTACGAACGCATGAAGTTACATAGTATATCTTACTAATAACGTTACAACTACCCCAAAAGGAGCCCTCGAAGGTTGTCTTACGTCAGAAACTAGGTAGTTATGCCTCCCTGTATAAAGTGACATCTCGTTGTACTATTAGGCTGCTGCGACATCTTGTCTTGCCTATTGATGCTATGCTCTTGGGCGGGTAGATTAGGATGGATATGTCTAAATCCTCCCAACTTAGAAAAGAGCATATACTGGTCGCGTTGTAGATGATCTTGGGTATGACATTTGGCTCTCAACTCTATATAAAATATTTTTAATAAGTTAGGTGATGTAACTTAAGATTAGGCTTTTAGTTCTCTCCTTTAATTGACTAGATTCCATTTCATCCATTAGTACTGCCTGTTCTTTGATCTAGTATCGATAGCTAGGTACCTACCTAACCTAGGTACATTTAGATATATTCGTGTTATAGGACTCCTATTAGGTAATGTGGGATGAGGATTCCTTACAGCCGCAGTAGTCCGACCTATCAACTTCGTCTTGCATCACAAGCTTTGAGATCCCCTTTCCTCTACAACTTCCATGTAAGTAAGAGCACACATAATAGGAATTGCATGAATCAAGCATCTCGACCGAGTTCGGTCATCGGCTGAAAGCTCGAGAGAACTGTCAGATATTGTGCATGAAGATGATGACAGGAGCAACTACGATGTAACTAACGCGATATAATCTAAGGGTAATGTTAGCAATTATATAGACCAGAATCACGTCTTCGTCAAGTATAAAGATAGAGATATCTGCCGCCTTGGAGTAGTAATATTTTACAGAACGTCACCCTCATCCACTCCTAACACTCAATACTTAGCACTCATCACTCATCACTCATAACCACTTACAACAAATACAATCTTCAAAATGTCTGGACTTATCAAGTACACCGTCGAGCACTACAAGAAGGCTGGCGTCTCAGACGCCGACTTCGTCAAATGGTTCAAGGAGGTCCAAGTCGCCAACGGCCTTCCCCTGATCAAGAAGCACGGCATCGTCAAGTACGCCATTGTAAGTCTTTCTGGCATACACCTACCGCCCAAACATGGCCTCCAGTTTACTAACCAGAACATAATAGCACTTCCGCGACGCCCAGCTGAGCACTGCATTCCGAGCTGAGCTGGAAAAGGTCCGCCCTGAGTGGGAGGTCAGCGACGCCGACATCACCATCGAGTACTACCTGCCCGACATCTACTTGATCCAGAACCTCCTCGCCGACCCCGAGTGGGAGAGCAAGGCCGCCAAAGACCAGGCCAACTTCGTCGACCTGTCCAGGTCTACCATCCACATCGGATACGAGACCGTCTACTTGGAGAACTAAGTTAAGGTTGAAAGGAATCAGGCTTAGAAATGTTAGATATCTAGCCACGATGTATATGAGATGTCACGACGCTGCTTTGGATGATGTCTAGAAATATAAAGATTGATTGCCGCTACTTATGTCTTCAACGTGAACTATTATGAATGATAGGATCTTACTGGTGTAAACCAGATCTTAAGTTTAGCTACCAATAGTGACACGAGAATCTTCGATTTGAAGGATATTCATCCTATTCGTCGCTAATCATGATGATGCCCTGTAATGAGTATCTAGGCATATCTAGTTCCAGTAAGATAAGGTCTGAAATGAGTATACATTTACTCTGTGGTCTGTCTTGGTTGATCACAATTCTTGTTCTATTATCGAAGACACATATAAGCTTTTTATCGTAGTAGTAGTTATTAGATGTTATATTTGGCATTGTATTATTAGTACATATAGTCGGTTCTGGTTCTGGTTCACCCCTCTGCCATGAATATGCAACATGACTATGAGAGGTTTAGGTGCACGAAGGCGTCGGATTTTGGCGTTAAAGACATTGTTAAGTCTAAGTAGTATCATTCATTATTAGTAATGTATTTCTCTATTTTCCTATATTTTAGCCCCTATCTACTGTTGTGAGTAGGTAGTTTCCGACATCTATTCAAATATTCTTCTTCAGGACCAGGAGGCTAGAGTAACCACGCACACCCCCTCCATCTATGACACAACAGAGGCATCAATACGGGGCCGACCAAGTACTGTTTAGAGTTTTCCAATTAAATCTCTTACCAAATGTCAAAACTGTCTTCTTGGCCAACGGGCCATCTAGAACTTCATCGGAAATGTCCTGATACCTTCGTAGTGGCCTGCTAGGTTCGTAAATAGGCACGTAGACATCATCTTCGATATGTCAGAGCTTGCCACCGAGCCGGGGCTATCACTACAGCCATACTTCCTCCCTGAAGATTTCAACAAGTTCAAAGAGGTCTGATTATGCAGGCTACGGGGAACGCTAAAGGGAATTATCGACAAAGTGGTGGCTTTAGCGTATCTTCTTCTTGTGAAGAATTTGGGCTCGAGGACTGTGATTTAAACCCCAGCTTATTCCTGAGGTTCTGGCTAAGAGGCGTAAAATAGAAAAGTTCATATTAGATTTAATATGATGTTTAATTAGGGTACATTTGACTTGAGAAAAGCTGAGAAAGGGCAAATCTGGCAAGGGGTGATGCTGTTTTCCCCAAGTTACCATTCAAAGACTCACGGAGTAATGCTATATTATTATCTAGCTTAGTTTCCATTTACAAAGCGACTGATTCCCGAGCCCGTAGCGATATCATGATGATGGACATCTTATGATCAACTAACATTGTTCTGTGTCAGTTCCCTGTTTCTTTACAAAAGCGTTTAATGATTAACAAAAATAAAGTAAAAGTCATAACGTTAGATGGTGTGTCTTGATAGTTTAAGCGGTTTACAAAATGAGACGCAAGTAAAGTTGAGAAGGCATTAATGGAAATTAGAACTTATTATATTTTAAATTATAGTTGTATTGTACTTCCTTTTTCTCTCTCTTTTTTTTTGTATACCCCCTTAAAGGCCTTTTTATGTTGATGAGTTATAGTGATAAATGCGAGGTTAACGCATAAGCAATGGTAGATAAGTGTATACCTACCTACCTCATGATTTAATCATCATGATTCACTGGGGGAAGATCTCATATGCATACTCTTCCTTTCTTCCAGTCCAGGGCCACACTATTTCCAAGTCTCCGTTCTCATTTCTGGTGAAGTTCGCTTGGTTTTCACCAATGCTTAAAATCTTGAGGTGTGGGACGGCTTTCATGACTATGTCACCAGCCAGCTCAGTGGTATCGACGCGCCGCTTCACCACGGAGCGCCCGTAACGCCTTCCACCTTCTCCGTCATAGGCGTTGCCACACCAATGCCCACCGTCAAAGCCTAGATCTAAATTCGATGAGTCCGGTAGATGTAGCTGCTCGAGCTTGGGGAATCTAGAGATTATGGATAAGTATTCCTGTGACTTGGTTAGAATATAGTGCGTTTCTACTAATAACGGGACTTTAAAACTTGCCTTGAGAAGTTTCCCTTCCTCTTTAGTTTCTTCTTCGGAACCTGTATCCTCGCGCCGATGTCTATCAGACTCCAACGAGCCCTGTATCGTCAATTTTACTAGGTTAGGCATAGCCTCCAAGACTTCTGTGTTTATATTAGCCAAACACGTATATAAATTCTCTGGACAAGTTTAATTACCTTCAAGTCTCTTAAGTGTCCAGCCACCTAGCATCAAGAACTCTCTAAGACTATTCACGGAAGAGGCGGCGCGCACTAGATCAAACCTCGAATCGCGGCCCTCGCGATACCCCTCATTCCAGCTCGGATGATGGAAGAAACTACCGGCTTCTAGAGTCTCTAGGCCGGGACACATGGGTAGAAGGTAATGGCTCTGTGCGCCAGGAACTAGGTGTCGAACGCTGGGAAGCGTCAAATTCCGTCGCGAAAACTCGTCTCTGAAAGCTACCGTATGCTCTGCGTTAAGTCTCCAATTTAATCTCTCTAGATGCGGCATGGATGCCAAAACTTCCGCAAACAAGCCCGGCAGTTCGGATGGCATTTCTGAGTCAACGAGCGGGTTAGAGAATTGGCCGGTACGTACGTAAATGCATACATCTAAGTATCTGACGTCCTCGAGAGCGGCGGTGCAATTGCGCAATTCGTTAAGACGCGAAACAGCATTATCCCATCCCAGCCGCTTGATACCAACCTTGTTATTATCGATGTTGATGCGGCTGAAGAGATCGGTTGGGATCTCGTGCCCAGGGGATGGGCTAGTCCATAGCTGGGAAGACTTATCACATAGTGCGCTGGCGACATCAGGATACGACTCAAGCCAGCCACGGTTTTCAGATAGCCATGGGTGGTCTGTATCAAGGATGAAAGTGGGGATCAATGAGTTCGCCATTGGATTTTGAAGAAATTCGCTGAGTTGTTGGAAGTAGAATGGTAGGTAGGGAAACTTTAACCAAGCACCTGCAACGGTAGTCGCCCCTATATATAAGCAATAGATAGCATATGACAATTTCATTGTTTAGTTTCAAGTGCCTGGTAGGATAATGCAATGGCTCTCTGTTGTTGGGAAAGAATAAAGTCGATGATCGTATAAACTATTACCTACTACCTACGTGGGTAGTCTAACGCTCCGCAATGCCCTTTTAAAATATTAATTTTCCCAACCTGATTCGCTAGAGTTGTCCTCTTGACGATTGTTATGACTCTTTGCCAATCGAGAATGGAGGGGACTAAAAGGAGTAACAGGGGATTGCTGCCTAGGAGGATTCGTCCGCCAAGCATTAAACAACTGTCCTCTAATCAAGAGCGTCATTCATCCGATTTCGAATATACTAACTAGCCACATCTCGATAACTCAAAGTATTGACATATTCTACCAAGTAAAGAATGTCCCTCTCAAATGGCATATCAGATATTATAAGTAATCGTTACCTCGGCTCCCGGAATACCCACTTGGGTTCCTAGCCGCTTCAATATTCAGACAACCCCTATCGCAAAGTTATCAGCTTTCACTTGAGTATTCTGGACATCCAGGGCTCTCTTGGCCACTGTCGGCCGGGGGGCTGACAATGGTGAGTTCATTGAATTCGGCTGCTAGTTCGGGGTTGGCTATTAGCATAGGCTTGTGCACTGATGCCCACTGCTCTGCCACCTTATTGGTAACGGGCGGTTCTATTGTTGTGTCTATGAGACAGTGCACGATGGCGACGTTGGATTCCCGTGCCCTCGCTAGGAGCATCTTAGCTGATTCGATAAGTTTTTGTTTGGTCTCCGGGTCTTGGATCATATTGATGAGTACATTCTGTTAGTCGAGAAAGAGAAGGGCTGTCTTGGATGAGGGGTAGCTCGACGGCTTGCTAGAGTGAAGGCTACTCATGGTGATATGACGGGAGTTTTCTTTGATAGACAAATATCAACACGAGATAACGACGACAGAATGAGGTTAGATAGGTAGCCAGCCTTCGACGTGGGTTAGGAGGTGATTCTAGATGGAGTGGCCAGCAGTCAAGTTAAGTGGTGTACGCACGTCGAATTAGCCCAGTACTTGTTAAAGAGGCGTGGAGAAATAGTAACATAAAGTAGGCTTCCGTATATTTCTCTTTGCTCCCTATAAGTACTATAATTACCTCTTATATATACGTAAAGGAGTTATAGTCCCAAATACTAGTGAGATCACTACGGCACATTCGCTGTATCAGTATCACTGTATCTTAATGCTGCAATAGTCACAATTAATAAACTAAGAGGATGGTTTCTAAGTAACGTAACAGTTAAAGAATTATATAAATAGGGCAATTCGTTAGCCTTAAATGGGAGTACTGAAATGAGTGGCCAAGGAACTGCTAGTTGGTATAATACGTGATACTTTAGCAAGACGTCTGTATAAGCTAGGCTCCACCTTCATTTATGAAGAAGCTCATTTAGTTAATTAAGTCGCTCATATTGCTAATATATCATATCTTTCACTAAGCCTTAATAGAGTTATCAATTAGTCTTACGGTCATCCCTAATACTTAAACCCTCGCCCAACTAAAGACCCTCGTTCGAAATAATATGGTAAGTATCGGGCCTTCTAATATGAACGCTGACTCACGTCGCCTTTACTATAGTATGAAATTGCGAGTCTTCCACGATGAGTTATAGGATTGTGTGTTGTGTGTTGTTGAAGTTCGTGCTTTGACTCAACATGATTTCCATCATCGGTCAAGAATTTATTTCGATATAATTCGGTTTAAATATGTTCTTGAGATATATTCATTAATTACATAATTAATACGCAACTCTATTTCCGTTTGAGCGCCATATTCATATATTGTCAAGCGCTTTCTAACATGCAAATTAAGGTCGGATAATTTTATACGCCGCATTTCTTCAGGGGGATTTATAAGAACCAGCTTGCTTTCTGGCCCTGGCGTTAGACACACTAATCAACTCATCTGAGTGACTCAGATCCACTAAGTTACTGCAGTTCCGGGTCCCGACCCGTCGAGCTATCGTTATAATGTTTAACTGGCTTCAGAGGGAATGTATCAGATATGCTCTCATCAACACGAATCCAGCTCCTAGACGCTTGCGAATCTTCGGCTTCCGGCCAATCATGTACTGGCATGTTCGGATGGGGACCCCTTGCCTGATTTCCGCTAACGCCCCGGGTTCTAGTCGAATTCACTACCGATAACCCGTACCAGTTTCGAATCGCTCTTATAGCCTTGGAATCATCATTAAAGAGGGGCCCAAGTGTAGGGAGGCAGGCGCAGAGGATAGCTACACCTGACTGTATTTCTCCCCATAGCATAAGGACACTAAAGTCAACTTTATAATTATAAGTATGTCTAACAAACGTAGGTATTAACTAAAGGGGTAACTTACAATTCTTGGTTGGGTCTGGAAGTGGATATATCGCTTTCAAGCGAACGATGCTTGTAATACATACGCTATGCTTGTTAGCTTAGGCTGACCAGGGAAGTTCAGGCAACTTACAGTCCTCCTAATATAAAAATAACTAAGAGGGAGATCCTCCTTGGCGCAGATAGCTGGAGCTTTCCTAACATGCTAAAAGGGATACAGAGGATTACCACATCCAGGAGTAGATTTGTTGTTTCATACCCTAAAAGGAAATCCGTTGAATTGAGGCAAAAGAGTTCCGAGTCAAGCTGAGTCCAGAACGCGTCGATAGGGTCGCATTGAAATATTATGATAGATATAGCGATGATGAACCAGATGATACATAAAACGGCTGTGGTTAAGGTTGCCCGCCTGCAGGTCTTGTTTACTGAGAATATTGAGTAGTAAAACCATAAGATGCTCAATTTCACAGTAGTAATAATTCCGCTAAGCAGGAACTCGCAGATCCAGGTCATCTTTTTGCCATTTAGTCCCTTATAGTTTTCCAATTAGCGTTGGTTGAGTACAACTCACTCTCAAAAGTTCGGTCACCTCGGGAGGCTTCAAAGGGGGGCCGGTTTCAAACGCGCCATGTCTGACGATAACTAAATTGATATTCAGCCTATGTCCTGGTAAAGAAACCAGATATATACGAGTAAGCGCCTACAGTCGATTATGAGACCACATTGGGCGCAATAAAGAATCAGGGATACGATACACAGCCAGTCGTGGCCTTGAAGACGTTGAAGCTGACTGATTCTCACCCAGATTCTTAGGAGAACGACGATAGAAGCCAAGCCAATCAAAACAGCACAAGTACGCAAATTCTCTTGGCCGCTTGAGGTAGTGGAATGTGGTGTCGTGGTTATAATAGAGCCCATCTGTCGGGTTGGTGGACGCGTCGGCCTCAAACGAATTGAACAAATTGAAGTTTAAAGCAAGAGACAAAAACAACAACAAGGATCACACGTCACTTAATCTTCTTATAAAGGTCCGTAAATGAATAAAAAATCATGCTACAAAAGAAGGCTGGTGCTGTCAGTGCGGCGGCGTCTGCAAGGCTCGCTGATAGGTCAATTATAAGATGTAAGCGGCACAGGTGGCCGAGCAGACAGATGCCGGCATAAATGCCCCTTCATAATCTTTTAATGGATGATACTCTTTATGTTATATCTTATGTAACTTAACCCTTTTTTCAACTGAATTTAATAAATATATCTCAACGAGCTGGGTTTGGGGGATTTCTTACTACTTTACGGGTTGGAATAAGATATAAGTTTGTGAAAAGGTCCATGTCACTTAGGTACTTAAGCAAGACTTGACCCCAAGATCAGCATTCATTTTGCGTCTTCCCACCAAGTGTATGTATATTAAACCATTAGAATATTAGTGCTGGATTTCGCCTCCTCTCACCCAAAAGTTGCTGCACTTTGATTAAGAAAACGGGCAGTAGTTAAGAATTGATTCGAGATACTTCCAAACAGGAAGGCTTCCTATATACATATTTTAAAAATATTGCAAATGTCGGAATAGCCTTTTATTAGTCCTTTAAATCTGGTACGCTATCCCTAATCTCTCTACGTGCGAGGAGGCAAAAGCCAGCACTAATACCGGTGCAACTGCAGGATAATACATACCTATCTATAGATCGCAAGCGGGATTAGCGACGCCAACCCCCCACATATGATCTTAGTGGATGGAATAAGGACTCTAGCTTGCGGGAGTGCCGCCGGCAAAGGGACATGAATTAACGATTTCCCGACTAACGATCGGACCGAGATCGACATATCCGGCTACCCGCCAACCAACCTGAACATGTTAGGGTTGCACTGTTGGTTACACTGTTGGTTGCATGGGTTCGTAAGTTCGTAAGTTCGTACTCGGCTCGTGTCTTATGAGCCAAACAAAAGCCATAGCGTGGAGCGTAACGCTTTCGCGACATCTTCACAGAAGACGGTTATTCAAAGTGCATAGTAGAGCCGTTGCCGAAATGCTTAATGCCGAGGTCTCTGTCTCGTAGATGATCGGCATATTCGGATTTACATAACTGGAGATTGCTTCGTACGGAGGAGACTACCAAAAGCAAACCAACAAACATCAGCGCCCATGTAATCCGAAATCCGATACATCTTGCCGCATGGCAATGTATGATAAGTCAGATAAAATGCTAATTTTCGCTTATCAGAACTGAATCTCGCATATTAAACGTGGCTATCATTTCCAAAAGTATTCTCTCTTATTGAAACCGAGGCATAAGCCACTTGCGTGCTGTTTGAGTCTCAGGCCATAAGCAGGGTATAGGTCTGTGCTGCAAAACAAAGGCAGGGCACGGGGAGCTCGGACAAGCAGGCATGTGAAGATACATAGGTAGTTAGATATATACTGTGAATAAATAATTACGATTTGAATTATGTCTCGGGGATACCCCACTAGATCGGGGGAGAGCTACATCTAGGGCTACGATGCATGCTGCGTCGCAATAATATGTATGCGACGAGAGCATGGTATATTTGTCCTGTGACAGACTGATCACATCAGGGATGTAGTTGCATACATTCATACGCCCCCACGTGAGGAACCCTGTCTCCGGAAGAGCCCACCAATCATCGCTCGCCCTTTTAATATCTCTCATTTGTATCTCCGCCCCCTGATCGCGGTATCACCAACCTGGTTAGCCTTGTAGCGTACGAATCACCTTAAGGCTTAAGAGACCCTTTCCACGTGGGTCTATAACTCCACTACTTAAGCTTATAGAAACACAGACCAACGGCTATCTCTGGGGGGCCGAACTTATTACCCCTTTTGTTTATACTGATGGCACCATGGCATGGAGCTCACGGACAACATTACGAGATGCTATGAACTAGTGAGGAGATCGGGGTAGGAGCTGGGGAAAAAGCGATCGATAGTATCTATAGTATCTATCAAGAATAGTATCATCAATAGTATGCGTTCGATTCTACCTACTATGTACCTAGGTGGTGTATATCTTAAAAAGCAAATACCGCAACACAAACCTATTTCGTCGATCAAATCTATAACATTACCGAATACCTGTCTAGGTAAGCACAGAGAGGCTTCTTCCATGGTTAGAAGCAGGCTGGTAGGCGTACAACATACTTTCATACACATGGCATAACTGCCGCTTTTACCACAGGCCAGCACCAATTAGAGGATTCTAATAGTAAAATCAAGCGTGTGCGGTACGACCCTTGGTTGCATCGTTGCAACACGATACCACCTTGTGGCCCACTTATGCGGGAAAGTCCAAACATGCACAACAACCATCTGCATTGCAACACAGTAGTTCTATGCTCCGTAGTAGTGATGGCTTCGTAGTATTACACGTGCTAATGCTAGGCGTGCAAGCCGAATCCCGAAACAAGAGTGATTTCCTGTTCATGGTGAGTAGAACAAAGGTGATTGACCACTTGCCTGCCTCCCGGGTACGTAGGTGGCTTCGATTTAGCGTATATTTTGACTTGTTTATAATAGACAAAGTTGCCTTACTTTTCGTTCTCATATGCATCAGACATCTTCATATCTTCACCGCTGCTCTTACTCATCCTGCTATCTCTTCATAGTGTACTACATAGTGTATGTCTACAATGGCACTGTCACGCTCAACTCAGCCGCTTAAAGCTCTTTATATAATATACTTTACCTTAAAACTTCCATTTATATTAATCTCACTTATAATCTATTATACTATCCCTTCATTACGACCTATACGACAATGGAGCATAAGAACAAGCGTAGCCACTTACATTATACGCATATTTTTCAACCTCGTCTCTGTAATCGGTCTTTCAAGCCTCCGACCTCTAACTCCGGAGAAGGCTAAAGAACGGTTTGCCTACATCGAGCCCGGTGGGGACGAGCTTTACTCCGGCGTCTTATCTCCAGCAGCTATCAAGCCGGTGCCCCTAAAAGGACTTTGGGATGCGGGTCTAGGTAGTCCAGTAACCGTTGACAAATCAAAAGTCCTCCTTCTTTTCCCTGGGGGTGCCTTTGTTTTTGCTTTTGATCCTTATGAGGGGTCCAATATTGTCTCGGATCTAGTAAGACGTGTTCCAGGGGCTAGGGTATTCCTCGCTCAGTATCGACTTGCCACCTCCCCCGCCGGCCGATTTCCAGCCGCAATCCAAGACGCCCTTACCTTTTACAATTACATCCTAGACCTCGGCATCGATCCGAAAGACATTATTTTCCTAGGCGACTCGGCTGGAGGCAACGTTGCCGTGGGATTATTAAGATACCTAGAAGAAAGTCAGAAGCTTCCACTTCCGGGCGGTGTGCTCGCCTACTCACCATGGATTCACGTAACCAACGATTCCAAGAGTCAATACGGAGACTCTCCTAAGCTACGGACCGACTGTATCAACTACCCCGTCCTCCAGACTGGATACGACAAGTACATCCCCGAAGGTGGGATGACACCAGAAGTAGCACCGTACTTTTCCCCTATGACGCACCCATTCAGGACAAGCGTGCCAGTATATATCCAAGCCGGAGAAGCTGAAGTTTTCTACGACGAAAACAAGCAATTCGCAGAGGCGATGGAAGGAATAGAAGGCAACAAGGTGAAATTTCACACGATAAAGCACGCACCACACGACCTCATCCTATCACATAGGATGGTCGGCTTAACAGCTGAGGCGACCGCCTCGGTCGAAGACGCTATAGCCTTCGTTACCAAGGACGTGGATTGAAAGGGCAGACATGTGATATAAACACAGGTCAAGATGTTACATAGTTACATTGATGATGGAGGCCACCCAGCCCGGCGGGACCTTTTCAGAGCATGCACGTAACACGATGCAGACGCTCAGATTCGAGAATACTCATTTTTGATGGAGCAAGCTCGAAGAAGTTTTAATGGTTCAATGATAATGACGAATATCGCCAAGGTGATAGGGAATAGGATGGGGGTCAGGGATGCCACGTGGTTTAACCCCTGTAAATAGCTTCAATTTAGCCAGGCTACCTTTCTTACCTACTACGCCGCAGGCCAATCTTGGTTTTAACGATTTGGTTATTTTTCGCCGACATCAGCTATTGGTTAGTGAATACGAATAGCATACACTAAAGCTGGCCTGCAAATGAACCATCCCGTTTTAACTTGTACCAGTCCATCGCGATTTTCGCTTTACGGTGTGTATCAAGAATGTGTGATTTTACGCGAATTCCAGGTGAATAGGAATACCTGTTCAGCCTCATTCAAAATGATTTGGCGTATAATACATGTTCCACTAATCAGATCTCAAAGCAAGTAAAGCTAGCATTAATCCGATTGATCACAATAGTTGACGCAAGCCCTCTTACTTTGATGTAATGTTGAGCCAATTTCAGTACTTCATCCTAACCTCCTTCGATGCGACAGCTTTTTTTTCGATCATCTGTAATACTGCGGCTGAGCAATATTCTTTACTTTTGGACCAACTGCAGGTTATATACTCCAATTAAAACATGTCTACCGAACCAAGACCCAACGTAAGCTTAGAGGTATTCGAGGAATGATGTAAGAAACATTGGCCGATCAATTCAATGACTTAAACTGCACTTGGTGGCAATGTTGATGTTCATAAAGCAACTTAAGATCACGAGAATTGAAACTGTAGTTACTAATTTAATCATTGGCTTTTTCTTGGTCCAGGAAGCCAACTGTATGGTCTTTTTACACTCTTCTTTTATCACAAAATATCTTTCCCGTCACCTTTCAGCTTAAGAAATAAACCAACCAATATTAACCCTAAATAACTAACATAGTATTTAATACCCAAGGTATACATAAAACTTGAAAAGTTGAATTTTGTATATGTTTATAACTATACTGAATGTATAAATCAGTCTTTTATTTCTTTATGTTATAGGAAGATTTAATAAAAAGCGGATCGACATTATTAAGTATGTTAAGGGTTTAATAGTAACTACAACCAAGCTGTCTTAAGTAGTAGGTAGGGTTGGTGTAACCCTACGATAAGAGGTAATGAGTTAATGTAACATTATCGAGATATTCAATCTCGGGTTCAAATGTATAAGATAAGGCGTTTTATGTAGTACTTACCTACCTGATATATTAAAACCGATAATCCGGGATTAAACCACGTGGCACTTTCATAAAGGCCAATATTCCGCCAGTAACGTAAGACGACACTTCACGTTACAGTCTTTAAAAAAACCTATACGTCATGAGGTAACATTAGAGGTATGATTTCTTACATAATTGACAACGACCAAGCAAAAAGACGTTGCCAATTCGTAATATGTGTAGAATACAGTAGCTTGTTAAACCAAGCAATATGACTTTTGAAAGCCATCAGTGGTTTCGGAGTATCTCTATTTCGGGTAGGGATAGGCTCTTACGGCTCTACACTTCGTATGAATTTACTGCCGTACCTAGCTATTAAGCAGCTTCATGTTGTGGAACTTATGGTTAGCAATTACCAGTTCGCCATATATTTGATTTAAATTTGATAGTTAAGTATATCTAACATAGTTCCTATATATACCACTTAGGTATGTTTAAACTAACATAGAAGGTAGTTACTCACTCACATGAAATCAATATCTCAAGAAACTCTACTTCAGTCCCTATACATCTACCCTTTAGTGAACATGTCAAATCCAGATAATTTATACTAACAGGACATACTGCACAATAAAAACATCTCATGGTATCGTCTTGGGAAATGATGATATATTCCTAAAGTATCAAAAAGCGTAGCGGACAAGAACGTGCCCAAGCTCCCGCGTAGTCATCGCCTACATGGTAAATCCAAGATTTACCATGACCCAAGGCGTTGCGTTAGGCTCCTTCAGCAGCTTTTCTAGCATCTTATGCCCATCACTTCCTCTGCTGCTTACATAAATTGCACAAGCCAGTATGGGTGTACATCACATCCTTCCGCGTCAAGGTACCACACGAACCTGCGGCTCCCCCTTTCTCGCTCACCTTTTTGCAGCGAATAGTTTTGAGTTTAAACTTCGGCCCGGTGAACCGTCCGCAGGTCAGGCACACAACGCTCTGATACTCCTGTGTACACATTGTAGTTGTGTATGTGCTGTAATATGGTGCACCGGGGGTAGTAAGCAGTAGGATCAAATGAAGGAGGAATGCGACAAGGCAATGCGACAAGGCCACGAGCTAATAGATGGATCTGATATTTTGCCTGAAGGCCGGTGTCAAGATGAAGTGCTGGGTTGAAGGTAGTGTTGCTTTGGGGTCAGATGATGCTGGAATTGTTGTTGTGGTGGTGGTGGTTGAGATGCTTGAGGTGGTTCGGATTTAGGATAGCTAGGAAACCCAGGGGATATCCCTGTTTATATAGATTTATTCCACCATATTTTCCGAATTGCCCAGCCTTTCAGTGACTCCGAGAGTCTATCTTCTGGGACGTGTCATTTTTCGTTATTTTATCTTTCTTACGAAAAGGGGGTGAAGTGTAGTTTCAGTGAGGTCTGTGAATAACGATACGTACCTAGATGATTTAGAATCAGCGTTATGATTAACAGACCAAGTTATTCGTCTCCTGATTCAGTTTGACGTGTCGCGAGGTACACAGATTATGTCTACAGAGAGCATGTAAGTCACTTACTTCGATGTCCATTCTCATGGTGATTTGGATTAAAAACTAAATACTACCTAGACGTGTATGATATTTCGAGAGAATGGGTATGAGTCTAGACTGGCTAGACCAGCTCCAGGAAATAGCCCCTACCAGTCTGCGTCTAGACTAGAAAACCAGTGCCAGTTATTAGTAGCCGGTCTAATACCGTGTATTTTGCTAGGGTCAGACTGCCACTCCCTGGGACGCCATTGCATCTTGATCTGCTCTTTAGTGGCGCGGACTCGACAAAGTTCGTTGCTCTGCCCATTGGCAGCCCGCAGCGACAAGAGGCCATCCGAATCTATCCACCATTCGACTTTACCAGGTTTAGGATACTCGTTCTTCTCAACTCTATCCATCTCACGATTGAGATCCCAGCCATGTGCCTTATAGGTATCGTGGAATACTTCCATGACTCGCGAGTTGGCAGCCTTGGCAGTGTTATACGTCCCCTCAATTTCTAACTTTACCTTCCCAATGTGAAGCTCTTCGGGATTTTCAAAGTATTCGTATCTGTTGATGGTGGAATTCGTGACGATATATACAACACCCAAGTCGTCGTTGAAATGTGACGGGGTGGGGCTATCCCAGAGTCTTGCCAATAACTTTGGAATACCAAGTTCTTCGATCATCTCTCGAGGAAAAGCGGCTGCGATATTCGTACGGTAAATGTCCATTCCGTCGGATACCGCTTTATGTTCCCCAGATTCAAATTCGGCATGGTCGCTAGTGGCATCTTCCATTTCAATATCGTCTTCAGTAGCATTGGGTTTGGTACGCTTCTGTGGTTCATCAGCCCAGGAAATTCCGGCCGGAAATTCGTCTGGCTGGGCCATTTTGCGCTTCGACATAGTGATTTTCTTGATAGTCGTAGACAGAGGTGGAGTATATGAGAAAGGGGTTTTTACTAGAAAGTTGTTGATGTAGATGGAAAGTTTTGGAGTCTAGGTCACGGACCTAAATCTTATGTGTTTCATGTAGTGGTCATTACACGCACCTTCTTCACTTGTACGTGTATGTGCCTTCCATCTATATGAGGTAAGATGATTAAGAAAGAAGTTCCGGTGATTTGACAGGGGGGAGGTCTTAGGAAAAGGAAAGAGGAATGACATGATCTGTACCTCGTGTACCTAAACTTTATTGCCGCACCAGCGTACCTGACGGTCTCCAGATTATGTTAAATCTAATATCATCCTAAAAGCGGGCATATATAAATCCTATGTAAGAGTCAAGAGCTGGGTCATACAACTTAAACCAGCTTATTACCCAGGCCTACTGCGCTAACGTTGAAACAAGATAGAAAGTCTAAGCAAGTCTTTATGATTGAACACTCTATTCATTCATTCATTATATACTACACGCATCATTAAGGGCCTAGGCAGGCTATAGCTGTCTCTCCTATTGACCTACGGCCCCCGCAGCCCACTGTCCAAAATCTGGGGCGTCCGGCTGCGCAAATAAGCCACCTCCTTGCTGTCCCTGCGCCTGTTGTTGCTGTTGTACACCACCTCCTCCTTGCTGGCCTTGTCTTGCAGCCTCGGCCTCAGCTTGGGCGTGCGCCTGCTGCCTGCGCGCGCGGTAGTACATGAGGATGACTATAGCGCCGACCAGTCCAAGGATGATTAAACTTTCGACCACAGCGTCTACGTCCTCAAGGACGTCATTCAGGGGCTCCCCATCGCTGCCTGTGATCATCCCCTCGTCGAAGGCCTCGTACCCCTCCTCGTAGTAAATATCTTCCTGGAGGAAGTTGGCGATCCACTCACTGAGCGACCAGTCCTTTCTGGGCGCTGTTCGGATATACGTGTTAGTCTGCATGTAGACGGCGAAAGAGGAAGTAAGAAAACGAATAATACTTACAAGGTTCGTCCTGGATCGAGTTGATCCGGCCATGGGTGAAAGTATTCCAGGCACTGCGCGCTCGGAGTTTAAGGAGGCTCAAGGTCACCGGTAGGTAGGCTTCCTCATTAGCCTCGAGGGCTTGGTCGTAGTATCTCTTAGCGAGGTGGAAATCTTGCGTTAAGCCAACTCCGTTCTCGTGCATCCAACCAAGGTTGTAGAGGGCTTGCGCGCTTTGGAAGTACTCCGATGCACCACTATAGCACTGAGCAGCTTTGTCAAACGCTGGTTCGGTACCGATACCGTCTAGATAATAATCGCCCATTTTAACCAGTGAGTCAATGTTAGATTGTATAGCCGATCTGGTCCAGTAGATCAGAGCCAGGGCAGAATTCTGAAGCAGGTTAGGCTTTGCCGGCTGGCGGTGAAGCCATGGTGGTAGGGGTAGTCGTGACTGGGACGGGTCTAACATAAAAGCCACATTGTTCTGCGCCTTTTCGTATCCTTGCTCTGCAGCAATAAGATAATCGAGGAAGGCAAGCTCGTAGTCACCATCCTCATAAGCCTGGTTAGCTTCTGCCCAAGATGACACCAGAGGCTCTGCCCTCTCGGCAACGCTCTTATAATATACCATAGCCATGCCACACGTTTTGTCTCTCCCAACCCCGTGATGCATCATCTCGGCTAGATAGTACTGCGCCTCAATATTGGCCCACCGAGCAGCCGCTTCGAAGTAAGAGTTGGCAATTTTTAGGTCGTCAGGAGTACCCTGGTCGAGGTGGAGAGCCCCTAGGGCCACGTGAGAAAGGCTAAAGTCCTGGTCTGCCGAAGCCTTGAAAAGCTCCGTGGCCTTAGAAACATTCTTTGGAATTCCAAGGCCGTGAAGATTCATAATACCCAAGCCCCATTGGGACTGGGCATCGCCATGCTTAATTCCGCGCTCAAACCATCCCCTAGCCAGCTTAAAGTCCTGCCTGACTCCCTCTCCACGTAACCACATCCGACCGATGTAACCGGCGGCCTTACTGGCATATTTCTCTAATTGAGGCTTGGGTTGGTCAACGGGACGGCCATCTTTGGTGCGCCAATACATCGTTGTTACGGCGGCAAAGTACCGTCGAGCTAGATCGACGTTCCTTTCAAGACCCCGCTGTCCCTCATAATAGAGCCTGCCTAAATTGAACGAAGCCTTGAAATCTCCCTTCTGAGACATTAAATCAAGGTATTCGATGACGTCGTCGATGGCGGCGTAGGCGTGAGAACTGGGGTCAGCCTTCAGCGCGTTGATACCGGAACTTACAACGCTGGCCCCCTCTCCATATACACCACCTACGTCGTCAGATAATCGATGCGCTTCCGGTGTGAGGGCCATTCCACCAGGTGGCCCTGATCGGAACCAAACCATGGCCTTGTCCGCCACCCTCTTGTAATACTTGCAAGCCATCTCGCAACTCTTAGGTACACCAACACCGCTGACATGGCGGGCCGCGAGGGTCATTTCCGACCTCGTGTGCCCCGCATCGGCGGCAAAGGTATGATATAGAAGAGCCTTCGATTGATCCCGCTCTACCGCATCCCCTAGTCCTGTCGCATACATCAATCCCACCATATACTGCGCGGAACTGTTCCCATACGAAGCTAGTCGGTAGTAGTGATCGAACGCGGTCTTGAAATTTCTCGGGTGGGAGTAGTTTCCGAAGAAGTTGAACTGCGCTAGTAGGTAAATCGCATCTGTGTTATTCTGCTCGGCCGATTGCTGTAGGAGCTTGACGCCCTCGAGGAGGGGACCAGTGATGACTGGTGGCGCATGTTCTTGTGGAGGAGCGCTAACTCGTACACTGGGTAAGATCTTTGGTAAATAATGGAATATTATCCCGAAAACGCTGGTTGGCTTTTTTGTTTTTCTGTGCAAATAAGGTGCTTTAATCTTTCGAAATTCGGTCATCGCCTCATGGACAAGCTCCCATCCTATTCCACGTTAGATCCCCGCCGCTCGTTCCAGAATCACATAGTTACGGCGGCTTACCGCTTTGGTAGGGGGTCCAGGCATGTTGCTCGCCTTGAACGACATCGGTATCAACGGCTTGTTGAAGATTCGCGGTCGCAGTATCGTCCTCCAATACTTGTTGTTCGGCGGCGGATGTAAAGGCGATAACCTGCAAAAGCACTGTTCGGAGCAGGGGTTAGCGCACATAGCTTACAGCGACATTGGATTTATAAGGCGAAACTTACGGAGCGCTGAGACGAACCAACGCCTCATGGTAGATATTCTGCTAAGAGCAAGATTTTAAATGCTGTATTAATATCATGATCTCCAAAGAGGTAATCATTAAGTGTTGTGTGTGGGAAAGTTGTCATGAAATATGAAAGGAAGTCGTTCGGGGCTTGGAACTTACAAGCTGTCCAGATCGACCGGTACAAACAATGGTACAACTTGCATACGTTGAGAAGCGACGGGCTCCGTCTAGCTTGGCTAAGAGATCAACTTGCCTCCGATTGGTCAATGTTGCGCCACAGCTTGTGGGGCTATACTTTTAACAACTAAAAGTTTCAGTATCGGATCTTATCTTCATAAGGCTGAATTAGTGCGAATATTTATATTTTACTGATGACATGAGCATGTTAAAGAAGACCTTTAGAAAGCAATTTATCCAATTTGCAAATACTAGATTATATACGACCGACCTCCCCAACTCATCAATGATACTGCAGGAGCAAATAACCTGAATTTAGGAGGTCTAACTACTAAATACTAGAACCTCTTAGTAGAGGTAAGAAGAAACGCCATGTATCCTCTTAATTGCGTAGACGGGTACAGAATACCAGTTCGTGAAGAGGTTTACGTTCTCGACATCATCCCACTCACAGCAGGTCCGGCGACTATCTCCTCGGATCAGAAGCTATCCTTATTTAATCCTACAAGTCTAAAAGTAGGGCCCCAGCTCAATCTTCTCACGCGACACGGCAACATCACTTGTGCCAAGGCATATGACGCAGGGAGCGCTACAGTGTGTACGACGGGCGAGGATGGCAGCGTATCGATGTGGGATCTAAGGCAGGATGCGCGACAGGCTGAGGTGGCGAGACTAACAGGTTCGTTTATCGCGGCAGATAGCTAGCCGCACCTGTATTTATGGACGTAATGCTGAGGACTTATATAGATAATCGAGTCTCCGTATTGTCTTTAGCATGCTCAAGTGCTGGCTTCTCAGTTGCGGCTGGAACCGAACTGCAAGACCACCAAGCATCCATATTAATGTGGTGAGTGTTGCTGGATGGGTATCGCAATTCCTTGTTGTAATATGCTTATACCTGTATGCTTAGGGACGTCCGCTCAACTCCCACCCCGAAGCTTCACTACAAGGAAGTCCACAGCGACGATGTGACAGAGGTTTGCTTTACGTGGTACGAACGATAGATACCCAACACTAACACAACGTAGCTGAATTTCCATCCTAACGACCACAACATTCTCCTATCAGGATCGACCGATGGTCTTGTAAATATATGTGATACAAGAATCACTGATGAGGACGAGGTTATAATCCAGACCTTCAATCACGACGCCTCCATTCACCACGCGGGGTTCCTGAACGATACCGAAGTATACGCATTGTCTCACGATGAGAAGCTGGCGCTTTATGATGTTGCCGAAAACCACGAGAATGGAGCAGCAACGACCGATTTTGGAGATATGCGAGAGGTCCTTGGCTGCCAGTATATCGCCAATGTTACTGCAAAATCGAATGGGGCCGGAGCCGTGATTGGCGCTGGTGCACACGAGTAGGTGGAATCCGTACCCGAGCGAGTCTTGTATCCGCGCTAACCCTGGGACATGTGCAGCCAACAAGCATTCCAGTTGATCCACTTGACAAAAGGCCAAGGATGGAATCTAGATCGAGATAACAGTGTCAGCTTACCCGGAGCCCATTCTTCAGAGATTGTCCGTAGTTTCTGCTTCTACGACGAGGCGCAGACGGTGTTTAGCGCTGGCGAGGATGGATTTATCAAAGCATGGAAGCCGAACGTATAATCCAATAATTTTGTCCATCCCTTTCATGAGTATTTGTCGTGCTTGTTCTTGGACTTCAGATCCAGTAGCTGCTCATAGTAATCGCCCTCCCTTCTCGCTCTCTTCAGATTCCTAACTTCATCCTCGTTAAGTCGCCTCCCTACAGCTTCCTCAAGCTCCTGTCGACTAATTCTTTCCTTCGCCTTCTCTTCCTTCGTTGCCTTAAGTCGAGGTTTGAAGCGCGCTTGCATGCGAATCCTCAATGTAGTATCGAAGCTTATTTCTGTAGCATCTCCACGGACCTCAGGTGTGCCATTTGCCTTCGTAGGCTCCTTGATAGTTAAGAAAGTTTCGCTTTGCGACTGTATCTGGAATGTACCCGGTGTGTCAGGGGTCGGAATCACGGTCCACGTTTCGAGCGGCGATATAGCTTCGGATATCGCACTAAGGATGCCATACTTGTCGCAGCTGAGGTACCTAGACAGTAGCACATTAGCGATCGAAAGACAAATAAAAAATAACAGGAATAAGCACATACTTTCCGTAACGGCCTTTAAACCTAAAGTTCTCGGTGCCGTAGATCTTATTCGCAACCCAAACCTGGCGCACGTCGTGAGGTTCGGCGCTGGCAGGATTCGCGTCGATAATATTCACGATGGGGTCGGTGAAGATCTTTCCATTAGCATCGCAAGCCAGGCAGGTCGGAGGTTCTGTTGGAAGTACGATCATAATCGGGCCTTGAACATCCCCGACGGCGTCAGCTGATACCCAGCTATCGTCGTTTTCTGCACCCTCGGCCGTCGTGGCGACTGCGAGATTGCTAGGGCCTGCATCTTCAGCTGACGGGTCTGCTTCGGTACGCTTTCTCTTCTTGGGCTTCTTGTCGCCCTTGAAAGATAGTGGCTTGACCATGTTGATATCAGCTAATCTCCAATTGTTTTCTAGTGTGTGCTGACGCTGTATAGAATAACGGGATAGGTTGTTGGTGTTTGGGTGTATGTAATTGTTTGGATAAAAGGGAGCTCCGATAAGAAAAGCACTGGCGTCACTCGATACGAAGTACCTAAGTACACTGGCTTATTAAAACAGAACGGTCCGCCAAAACTCTCCAGAGTTTTGTTCCATTAGTTAGGTAATTACAGAATATAAAACACTCGATTCATATTTTTAGCATTTCTAGTATTCTATTTATTTTCTTCTGACATTGTTGTCATATCGTCCACAGTCCCTTACTGAAGATACTCTAGGGACCATCGCCAAGTATTTAACGAGAAGCTCCTATGGTAGCTCGGAATGCGCCGGTGGTCAGGCTTTTTGGTGCAAGTATTACTAGTGAAATGCCGACGGTATCCTTAGGGCGAAGCCGTAAAAAGATATCGAAACATTTTCAATATTCTTCAGTTAGGTCACGTACATATTGAATATCTACAAACTTACCTACCCAGCTCAGCTTCTGTTTCTGCTTAATTATCCCAAATTAAGCATAGTTTTCATTTACTCTTTGAAACTTCCCTAACAACTAAACATGGCGACAGCACAGCCGGTCGTTGTATCGTTAGCCGATCTCAAGAGTGGTAAGCGTTGCAGTATAAGACCCCCCAGAGAGTGACCGTTGCTCACCATTTAGGGAACATCTCTTTTGAAACGCTACAAGAAGCCTTTGGCCCGGAGTCGCTGGGAATTCTTGTCGTCAAAGATGTCCCGGCAGAGTTTCCAGGGTTAAGACACCAGCTGTTGTCGTATGCCTCGTACATGGGCAACTTACCAGAGGCAGACTTTGGTACGTTAGGGGCAGATAGATTGTAGGTAGTCTCTGTCATTCGAAAAGTGTCTTACAGAATCTTAGATAGGTTCACGAACGAAGCTGCAAAGTATTTAGTAGGATGGTCTAAAGGTAGAGAAAAACTCAAGGACGGAGGGGCCGACGAATACAAGGGCTCTTTTTACGCCAACTGCGCATTCTACGTAGATCCGTCCTTGGAGTCCGCGAAACCGACGGAACAGTTTCCCCTGAAAGAGTTCCCCGAGTACTTGGCGCCAAACTCATGGCCCCCTAACGAGACGCTGCCGGGTTTCAAGCCCACGATGGAACAGATGTGTAGACTCATAATCGACACGGCCGTATTAGTTGCGCGAGCTTGTGACAGGTTCGCCGAAAAAGAAATCCCAGGGTACCCTTCAGCCTACTTAGAGAAAGTGGTCAAGTCTTCGTCCACAACGAAAGCTAGACTCCTACACTACTACCCGATGCCTGAAGAGGCCATGGCGAAGAGTCAAGAAGAGGATAATTGGTGTGCAGTTCACAAGGACCACGGCTGCTTGACGGGCTTAACATCTGCTATGTTCGTTGACGAGCTGAAGACAGACGCAAAGGTCCCCAGTTCTAGCGGAAAGCAGCCGGACTTGCTACCGACATTGGAGGAATTGCCCGCGTCACCGGATCCACAAGCTGGACTCTGGATTAAGGACAGAAAAGGTGTGCCGGTCCAAGTCAAAATCCCTCGGGATTGTATCGCATTTCAAACCGGTGAGGCACTTGAAAGGATTACTCGGGGCAAGTTCAAGGCCGTGGAGCACTCGGTAAGGGGAGCGTACGCTAAAGGTGTTGCTCGAAATACACTCGCCGTCTTCACGCAACCAAATCTTGAAGACGAAGTCGACTTGGACCAGCACATCACGTTTGGAGAATTTGCTAGAGGCATTATAGCGAAGAATACCGTCTAAGTAGCAAAGGTCCAATTGTTCGAAAAGCAACTCTTTATTGAAATAACTAGCATAAGAACTTTTACGTTTTATCTGCTGTGAGTAGATGATAAAATTACAACTCTACTCTAGTCACATGCCAGTGTTTGAAACTGTACATTCACATTTAAACATGCCTCGGTGAGCTCTGGTACTAAACTTATACATCGCTTCCCTTTAGTAAGTGTCTTGCATAGTAGCTATGCTGCAGCTACCCCGCTATACCAGAGCTATCACAACATATGGCGTCACTGAATGCCTTTCCTATTATTCGGCATCTCTCCGTCCTGAAGCATCAACTACGTAACTCGGCCCCGTCACTTATCAGTCTCCGATGCGTCTAGCTCGGAGTTTCTCCCATCTTGCCTATAATAAAACCCAGTTCTATCCCTCCAGACAAGTCCTATCTACATTTACTTCTTCAAGCTTTCGCCAATTCTCAACTACACAATCAACCATGGCGCTAAACCCCAAATTCGCTGGACAGCGATTGCTCTTCGGACAACCTTCCTCTACCACAACCGGCGTGCCTCCAGCCGTGCACACCCTCGAGTTGTTTCTCGACTACGTGTGCCCGTTCTCAGCCAAGCAGTTCAAGACCTTCTATCACTCGGTCGTGCCCCTCATCAAGGAAAACCCCAAGTGGGCCAGCAACCTGCAGATCATCTTCCGCCAGCAGATCCAGCCCTGGCACCCGTCGTCGACGCTCGTGCATGAGGCGGGCGTCGCCGTATTGCAGCTCGCACCCGATCGGTACTGGGACTTCAGCGATGCCCTGTTCAAAGCGCAACTAGAGTATTTCGATGAGCCCGTCGTCAATGAGCTCCGCAACGACACCTACCGTCGACTAGCTAAGCTAGCTGCAACGGTCGGCATTGACGAGCAGGCGCTGTATAACTTGCTCGTCATCCCGGACAAGGTCCCGGAGGGCAGCATTGGCAATACCGGAAATAAAGTCACCAACGACCTGAAGCTGCAGATCCGGTACGGCAGACTGGTGGGCGTGCACGTCAGCCCCACTGTTATTTACGACGGCATAGTCGCGAATGATATTAGCTCATCGTGGACGAAGGAGCAGTGGCAGGAGTGGTTGACCAAGAGTCTCGGTTGAAGCAAAAGCTAAGATACGACATAAAATAGGTACACAGAAGCATTGCTTGGTCATACATCGGATAAGCTCCGAATGGCAGACGCAATTGTTCTTACAACCTAAGGCTATGAATTGGGGACTACCTAGTGTAGGTAGGTAGCTAGGTATTCACAGAATATAATAATTATATCACCGCAAGTTCAAGCTCATATCATATGTGCAGTATATACATGTAGCATTGATCCGAATTGAATCACCATTATATCGAATAGTCTTGAATAGTATCATGTCGACGAAGGGAATAAGTACTACAGTGAAATTACAAATTATAGCCGAAACCACCTGACAACAACTGCCAAAAACCGCTTCAGCTGGCGCAAATCGCGTAAATCTTGGTGAGCATCACTTCACTTAGACACCATCAAGAGCTATAAGAGGGACTTTACATCAAACCCTCTCAATCATGTTAATCCTCGGAGCCATAAGAAGGGCTCAACGGATTCCATTAAGATGCAATACTATCAACTTCCAAAATGTAGTCCCCCGTAATCTTTCGCCCATAAGGCAAAATTTTCGAGTCCTGGGTATGAGATTCGAAACGACCGCAACAAACGCAACGAAGACAGCCAAGGCAAACGCCACGGCTAGTCCCAAACCGCAAACACCCAGATTCGGTCAGTCTTTCAAGATCTCAATTTCTTCCGATGAACTAATCAACTAATCATCCCATAGCATACCCAGAGAACCTCTGCGTATACCACGCCGGCACAGGCCGGATAACCTTCCTAGCCTGCCTGAAGATCTCCACGCTCTTCATCTTTGCCTTCTTCGGCTTCGTCGTGACCCCGACGTACTTCAACCGGGAAGGCTTATCACCCACCGTCCTCCGCAGTATGCCCCTTATTACCCAATCCCGTTCAATCCCTTCCGTATACTAACCCCAGCCACAGCAACGCTCTCAGCCATCATCCCCCTAGTCTTCGTAGCATACACCACCTCCCCCTTCGTGTCCTTCATCCACATGCGCCTACCGCCCGTAGCGCGGCAGTCGGAGGACATGCTACGACGGTTCGCACGTGCTATCCCCGCAAACACGGAACTAGACATCACGACCATGAGCTTCATCGCCAAGCCGCGCGTGAGCCGCGTCAAGCTGTCGGACCTCCGCCCCGTGTCCCGAAGGTTCGGCATCGTGAACCTCGCCCGGGACACGTCCGCGGAGAACGCCGCTAGGAGGTGGTACCGGTTCCGCGCCGTGGGCGATTTCAACGCCCAGGGTAGCACCGCGACGCGAGCCCCGTGGGTCTGGGAGAGCATCCTGAACGCTATACAAAAGCCTCGAGCGTGATTTGCGAGTCTTCTGTCATTCATAAGCTTTAATGTGTATCTACTATCGGACGTCATCCGGCTCTCTACGGTAAGAAGTGGTAACGGGTGGGTTAGTTTGGCCTCTCCGAAGCGGCCTGCAGTAATGACTATAACGCACTAAGAGCCATGTCCCTTACCTGGTTCTCGGGTCATTGGCCATATCATATAATGTACAATAGTTTCTGGCATAGCCAAGCAAATCAAGCACTATAGCAGGCCAGAAGCTCTAAGGAAATAGGCAAGTCGAATAGGGCGCATGGGATTAATCAAGCCTATTAAAACTACACTCATACTAAGAGAGGTATCACTCGACGCAACCTCCTACAACTGCCATAGTTCCAACAGAACGAAAGTTATAGCACGCCAAAAACGCCATTAAGAAGTATTCTGCGCATTTAATTCTCATATATCATCAATACTCAACGTTACACATTTATATTCTAAACAGGAACACGCCAATTATCCCTTACACAATATATTATACAAGTGACTATCTTTCGACAATATACTCCGTAACTATGATAAGATGCCTCCCGCAACCATCAGCGTTTAAAGCGCGGAAAATTTTATCTCCCTATCGACATCTGATATTTACACTGAATAACCCGACGCACATCCACGGTACTGGGGATGACTGAATACCAAGGCAGAGCCCGTGATAGACGCACATAAACCGGGTCACCTTTATGACAGCATCAAGCATACATCATCTAGAGGTATCTTAGTAATAAATACTCTAAAACTACCTGTTGAGATCTAAATGAAGTTAATTAGTAGAAGTTTTCCTAACAGACTAGTATCTGCCGGAAGATCTTCATATCTAAAGCTAAGCTAGTGATAGTGTACACATTATTTCCTATTATCTCCTGTCATAACCTCCTCTCCGAAAGAAGACAAAAACGTCCTCGTTTTCTTCAATAGAAACGTTTATTAGAAACGTTTTTTACAAACGTTTTCTTTTCGCCGTTCGTTTTTCGTTATCCTCCAAAAATTATTTCTCCAAAATGTTTTGGGCGTCGTCTGGCACGGTTTGTTAAATTGGTGATAACTTCGGTAAGGGTTTTGCTCGAGTAGACTTCGTGAGTTTTTGTGTCGGTGACATCTGTGAGAGGGGTAAAGGCTTTTGTGGTAGGGTTGCTTTTTGAAGCGATACTTTATGTAAGAATGATGCTTTATGTGGTTGCGGGATCTTTAACGGAATCATGTGCTTCAAGTATGGACTTGGCCGCGCTTTGATAGGGTTGTGTCTTCGTGGTCTTTTCCTATTTTTTCATTTGCTGCCAGAACGCGGGTATTCTTTGATGTTCAGGGGGTTGTATTATCCATATTAGTCCCAATGCTATCAGCGCCTCAGTGATTCCGGTTGGTAGTCTCCCGAATCCTGAAGTTGAATCTCCATTGCTTCGTATTGCTTCAAAGTACTCCTTTGCTGGTACGTGGGCTAGGATCCCTTCACATTTTTGGATCCCATTTTCTTTCCGATCCTATGGCGTATACTTGTGTTAGGCCCGCCATCGCTTCGCGGTATGGGGGCTCGCTGCTCGGTTGGCCATATGGGTTAAACCTGACCAGTATGTCGATGACTTTCCTGGCGTTGAACCATTTTCTTGGTCCGGCGGAAGGTTTTCTTCAAGTTTCTCAGTTCTTTGATAACCTCTTTTTTGAAGAGTTCGAATGATTCGGCCATAATTGCGATCTTGTGGTTCATTGCTTGATGTTCTATACCTATCTGGAATTGTGCGTCTGGATGATGTTGCGATTTGTCCCCATTTGGGGTGCGCCCTCGACCAGTAGCTCTCCGTAGTGGTTGAGTAGGTCGACATCATTAATTTGTCGGAGTCCCCAACATAGGGATCCTTCCACACCCGTGATGATGTGATCGAACTCTAGCCCGGAGTCTACCATGGCCATGAGCACCTCTGGTACCGTCGATGTTGTTTATTTCTCCTTTGTGCCGAAGAGTTCCGGGCTCCATAAAACGCCGCTGAGGATAAATGGCGAAAGGGGCTACATTAAAGCTGTGGGCTATGTACGCCCACCAGTACTCCCATTATGCCTGCCGCTGTCGACGCTCTATGGGCAAAGCCAAGCAATAATTGCAGATGTATTAAACGACGTACGCTTAAGTAATCAGACCGTAGGCCTTTTTAACTTTGAGCGCTCCCCGTTCGTGCCAAGTTTAGCCATGCCAACACTACTTGGAGATAGAAGCATAGACCGCTACGAAGTAGGCGAATGTAGAATTCAAGCAGGATAATGGACACCGGGGATAATGATTTAGGGTGCGACGATCGTCATATGAATGAACAGGTTGGGCAGGTTATGTAATAAGGTCTTCCTTTGCTCGTACAGTTGTTTGTGTAGTGTATTTTTCAGTAAACGTTCGAAATAATCAGTGGTGGCATTCGTGATTTTCCTCTCCTTGGGGAGTTGTTGGCTGTTAAAAGATTATTGCCTGGGTATTGTATATGTTGATTGACAACAACTCGTGTTATTGTTTGCGGTTAGTTGCCCTTAGGTAGATCGCTTAATTGTAGAAGGCCGAGCATGGGAAGGTTTTAGCGTCAACGTTCAGTGTAGGTGTTAGGATGCCTAGCCCGGAGCCACTTTGAGACAGCTGTACGAATAACCGTTACACGTATGTATCCCGATGGACTTGGCTACCTGATGGCAGGAGTAAACGACGTGTATACTAGCTATACTAGCATTAGCTTAGTTTAGATAAGAAGATCTCCTGGCAGACGTTAGTCTGCTAGAGGATCTTCTACTAGTCAACTTCTTTCTGATCTCATTCAAGGCCTACCATCTTTATCGTCGTCTGATGTAAGTTCTCTCCTTCGTCTTGCCAGCTTCTCTACTATGTCTTCGGGAATGGCAATCGGTGCTTGCTTGGTCATAGGTGAAGAGACTTTGGAAGTAGATGGTCGCTGCTTAGTTGCAGATGAGGGTTGTCTAGTCGTAGACGTAGTTGTAGATGAAGATATGAATTTTCCCAATTCTTCCACCTGTTGATTTAAGATTAGTTACCCCGAAAGCCTTTGAGCACAAGCTTCTAAGTAAGGTAAGGTAGGTGATACATACGAGCGGAACGCCAGGTAGGCCACCACGGTGGTGATGAGGCCGACGGCGAGGGTTATGGCTGGTTGCACCCAGACCGACCAGTCATGCTCATGGTTATCTGCCATCTTGGTGACAGAAACGGCAGAAGAGAAAAGACAAGGCAAAAACAGCGAAAATCGTTTCTCAAAACAGCGAAAACTCAGTACCATCGAGTCTAGAAAACCAGGAGAAGGGAACAGGAAGAGAGGGGACCTGTGCTTTCTGGGTTTGACAGAGATTTCCCAGGCTCCCTTCGACCAAATCCTGTAGAGGAGTCTCCATTGATTCGTAGGGCTTCGAAGTATTCTTTTGCGGGTACATGTGTCAGTATGCTTTTACATTCCATTAGGAATTATTGCGCTTTTGCGCCTCATATAGACTTTTATGAGTCTTGACATTGTTTCAGGTAGGCTCATAGTTCTTCGCCCAAAACAATGTCGCGTTCGTATCGTTAGGTTATATTGTGACTGTACGAAGTACAGTTTGAGGTAAGACTGGATTAGATCAAGCGCTCAAGGCACCCACGACGACGTTCTGGGAGTTGAATAAATGTTGTCGCATATGTAGATAAAGTGTTAATTTAACGGTTGTGTTAGCTGGTCGGTAGTTGTGGAAATTAGAAATTAGAATTAAGGTTGAAGGGAAAAAAGATGGAATACTTGTAGCTTGTCTTCTGTTTTATAAAGGCAGGAAGTGCACTCCTAACTTTATGTTCGAAAACAATTTTAGGAAGTACCTAACGGACGTGTCCAAAATTACTTCGCAGTTTCCAGGTGTGGTGCATAATGATTTAATAATGAAAGTGCAACTTCGAGCTACATATGCTCCTGTTGTACTTTGCACTTGCCTACCTGTTACCTGTTTAATAGCCAATTTTTCATAGCAACGACATTACCTACCCGCTACATACGTGTAGGTACCAATCGAAAATATAGGGATAAACAAAGCAATAGCTTACCTGTTATTAAGTTGTTTTTCTCTTCTTAAATTATCTAGGTACCTACTTAGGTAGTCTATTGGAAATATCTTGAAGGTAACGAAGTTGTGGTGCGACTCAAATTAGCCCACCAGTCTGACATATATGCGCCATTATACTACCTTAATAGTAGTCTCAATATACATAATTACCCAATATACTTTAAAGGTTAGACTACTGCCTATATGATTTTTAGTTTCCTTAATAGTTCCTGCTTAGATTGTTAAATATACTTTCTACATGTAGTTTTGTTTCGAACGTGTAGGTTGGAGTAGGTTGCATATGAACTGACATGTAGAGCCTACCTTCTATTAGGAACTTCCATTAGGAAGTACAAGGTTGTGAGTACTTTGTGCAATGTAACCTATTGTGTAATTTGGAGAAGGTGGGGTAAGAATTGGGGGAGTTCGTCGGCGATATCGCTGCTGACCCTCTTTTTATCTATCTAATTTTCGTCATCTCTGTCATACGGATACGGCAGGAATACAGAAGCTTACCTGCTAAAGACCAGGTGCAGACCTAGGTCTCCAGGAATGCATCATGTGTTCCGACGCACTAGTCTGTACTCTTTCTCTCTACATATAAGAAAGAGTGCGATATCGATTTCTTGCCGCACAATGGCTACACAAGCCGGTAGAACGTACAACGTACCTAGCCCAGACCCTAGCCCAACCCCCGTGGGGATAAGGATGAAGCTGACAATATATTCCCTCAGGACGCTATCGATGCGCTGAACTCCCTTCAAACCCCGTATGCTATCGTCGAAGCCCGCCGCAAGGCTGGCATCCGCCCAGATGCCGCCTCCATCGCCGAAATGCATGAGTACTTGCGGCGCATTGGCTACACTTCCTCCGACCTCGACCGGTTGAATGTTCTGCACGTCGCGGGTACTAAGGGAAAAGGGAGTACGTGCGCATTTGCAGCATCCATCCTCTTGCACTACCAGCGAGCACATACAGTACCTCGCAGGATTGGCTTATTTACGAGTCCACACTTGATTGCTGTGCGCGAACGAATTAGGATCAACGACGTTCCTGTCAGCGAGGACGTCTTTGCCCGTTACTTCTTCGAGGTATGGGACAAGCTTGGGGAGGCTGAAGAACGCGAAGGCCAGAGGGTAATAGACCAGAGGCTTGATATCCCCATGCCTACGAGGCCGGTCTATTCCCGCTATTTAACACTGATGAGCTATCATTTATTCCTCCAGGAGGGTATTGATGTTGCTGTATACGAGACAGGTATTGGCGGCGAATTCGATGCCACGAACATCGTAGCACACCCTTTGTCATCTGGTATTAGCACTCTGGGTATAGATCATGTCTTTGCACTCGGGGATACGATACAGAAGATTGCTTGGCATAAGGCCGGTATCATGAAGCCGGGCAGTGCTGCTTTCACTATTGAGCAAGTTCCCGAAGCCGCCGACGTACTTCAGGAAAGAGCCAAAGAAAAAGGCGTGTCGCTGAAGGTTTTGGATGTCGACCCTAGACTAAAGGATGTTAAGGTCCGACCAGATGCGCTATTCCAGAAGAAGAATGCCAGCTTGGGAGTCGCCCTAGCGGAAGCAGCATTGCAAAAAATCGACCCTAACTTCACACCAAATCCGTCGGCGTTAAGTAAAGAGTTCGTTGATGGTCTTGAAAAAGTTGTGTGGAGGGGTAGATGCGAAGTCAAGGCTGAAGGGCCAATCATCTGGCATGTTGACGGAGCACATACTGTAGACAGTCTCAAGATGGCGACAAGATGGTTTGCAGGTGAGTGCGCGAAGCGAACCGGCCCGAAAGCCCTGATTTTCAACCAGCAAGGACGTGACGAGGCCATCCACTTCCTCGAGGGCATAGTCTCTGCTCTCAAAGCCCAGGGGCAAGGGACGTTCGAGCACGTCGTCTTTTGCACAAACGTAACTTACGCCAGCACTGGATATAAGCGGGACTTTGTGAACCACCAGTATGACCCCGTAGCCATCAAAGCTCTAACAGCGCAGCGCGCCTTTGCGGAGAAATGGTCCTTGTTAGACCCGAAGGCAAAGGTAACTGTCGTGCCGACGATTGAGGAGGCGATCAATTATGTCCGAGACCTCAGCAAGACGCCCTTGGGCGAAAATGAAACAATACAGGCTTTCATTACAGGTAGCTTGCATCTGGTGGGCGGAGCTTTGGGCATATTAGAAGGCGCTGATGCCTTGTGACCGGCAACGGTCGATTTTCTAATGGGCTGGGTTGGTTATGTAAAATAGCTCTAGTTTCAACGAGAGATGGGTATACCCTAGAAATATAGATCAGGATCTACGGCGGCTCAACCCGTATAGAGGAGAATCATATAAAGGTTTCATTGAGTATAATATCGGCTATAACTATTTGAGCAACCTTGTTACTTTTGAATTGTATAAAGTTCATCGTGAAAGTATCTGTGATTCCCAATACTATAGATTGCAGAGACTAGAATCAATATCTACTACAGTCACTGATATCGAATTTATAGTATAAGTCTTCCTTATGTTACGAGTTCTTAGATTAACTAGGGAAGTGTAAAACTAACAAGGGACACGGCGCCTACGACTTAGTCCTGAGACCCATAATCTATCGCCTCTTAAACGCCGTTTTTGTCGTGTCCAAGTCACCGGAACCTGTCTTACCTACCTACCTACCTACAGAGCTTACCTACCTAGATGGGTAATTCACAACTCCGAATCTGGCTCTAATGTCCTAAGCAGAGCGCCTACGAGATGGAAGCTACCCGTAGCTAGAACCACGACTTTAACGCCGTCACGAAGCTGCGCAGCTTTTATCTTCTCGACCGATTCATCAACGCTCTCTACGACGGCGGTCTTCGTCCGGGGGGATAGCTTCTTCATGGCATCTGCTGCAGCTTGCTGGACAGCTAAGTCTCGCTCGGGCTCCTCGGCCATTCTACGCTGTAGATCGTTCCGAGTAAATATGGCGTAGTCGAAGATAGTGCCCTCGGGAACCCCCGACTCCTTCTCAATACCCCTGTGTAGACTGTTTAGAAGGCTTGCTATATCACGTTCCTGCTGGTTGAATAACAAGACCACTTTCGAGTCGCCAGCTAAAGCTTTGCGTTTCCCCGCGAACCACTTGGCTACTTCCTCCAGACTTTCTGCGGTATGTGCCCCGTCGATGAGCCACGTGAAGTCACCGTATTCTCTTGTTTCGGAACGTCCTTGCAGTCTTGCTAACCGTAAACCATCGGAGAAGCGTTCTGCCAAAGCTATCAACTTTTCTCCAGGTATGGTGTCCTGGTTTCCATCCAGAACCCTTAGATGCTCAGCTGCAGCCTTCGCCGCTAACGCCTGATTGTACTTTTGGAACTCGCCTTCGAGGCTGCCTGCCTCGGTTCCTTGTATACCTCCCCATTGCTCGACTTCTTGGTCTTCTACCTCTATCAAGGTGGCACTCTTCTCCGCGGCTCGTTCGCGTAACACACGCATAGTCTCCTCGCCATCTTCAGACCGGAGCTTTCGAGTGAAGCATTTACTTCCCGGCTTCATCACGCCCGCCTTATTCCACGCAATCTCGGGAAGCGTGCTGCCGAGCATACCCACGTGATCAATACCGAGCTGCGAGATCACAGAAGCCGTCACGGCCTCAGCCGGCAACACGTTCGTAGAGTCGTACTCGCCACCAATACCGCACTCCACCACCGCGCTCTTAACTCCCTCCCGCAAGAACGCATGGAAGGCCAGGATCGTTAAGAACCGGAAATAGAAAGGCTTTGTAGCCGGGCCCTCGAGCTCCGCAACCGGGATATCCTTCCCCGAACGCGCCGCCTCGTCCCGCGCAGCATTAGTAAGTGCATCCCACACCTCGAAGAAATACCGCGCGAACAACTCCCGACTAATCGGCCGCCCATCAAGCTGGATGCGCTCGCGCACCGAGACCAGGTGCGGCGACGTGTACGTGCCGACCCTACCGGCGAGAGGCTCCCGCGCCAGGATTGAGGTTAGGTACGCGCACACGGAGCCCTTTCCTTTGGTCCCGGCGACGTGGATGCAGCGGAGCCGGGCGAGATCGTCCTGCGTTAGCCCCGCCCGGCTTAGCCAGGAGAGCATTTCCGGGATGGCGAGCGCATTGAGGTCCTTGGCGGAGGGGGTGGGGGATGATGCGGAGGCGGGAGGGGTGAACAGGGATGTGACGGCGCGGTTTGACTGGATGGAGTCGAGGTGCGCGAGCGCCGACTCGTATGTCCGCGCCATGGTTGAGGAATGGCGCAGGATAGTTGTGGTGAGGTTGAGGGGAAGGAGAGGGGGAGGTAAAGGTTTGAGTAAGCACGTTATAGATAAACGCTGAATAAACATTGAACGAAAAGCCATAAACTAGTCGATATGTAATAGCGACAAGGTTAAATTAATAAAAACGTTTAACTACTTAAAAATAAACATTTAAAACCTCGACCAGCTGACTAATCCGATAACTTCATCTCTTAACATGTACAAATACAAAAACCCTATCCAAACAACTCTGTCTTTCCCGCCTTTAGTACTTCTACCCTATTGGTTTATTCTAGATGTTCCCCTTTCGTTGCTTTAGGCACAAACACATAGAAAGGACGAGACCGTCAGATAACTATTTACCCATGTCTTACTACGGCCAGCCTCACGGATAAACTGATCATATATAATATCAGAGCGGACTATTATGATTCTAGATGAGACATCTAAAATATAAGACTACTTCAATATATATAGCTCAAGATTCCACCATAGTCACATTTGGAGTTCCTTGCGGAACAACGAAGCTGTTTCTATGCTTCATGCCTTATTCCATAGCACGGACATCAACCATCGCCCTGCTCATTGACGAGCCAATATGGGTAGGAAACATACTCTTTATTCATTTAACTAATTCTGCCGTTGAGGGCAAGGTTGTTGAGTTCAATCGTATAGCTTCTTCAATCCTCATGAGGGTAGTGTTGAACTTCCTCTCCTTAATATATTCCGGCAACAGGTCCCACAATCACTGTTCCAATGCCCTCGTCAGAACCCGGGAGACAGTCTCGGTTCAATTCTGTGCCCAAGTACCCACTCCAGAAACGCGCGTTGCCGGGTCAATGGGCGAATTGAGAGGACCCTTGATTGTCGGGCCATTTATGATAGTTAGCTCGATGTTTTGGGTGCCAATCTTTCCTTCACACTGTCGCTGAGTGGTCAACTCTCCTAAACTGCCATATTGGAGTGTAGCCCTGTCGCACACAAAATCCTGTACACTAGGATTGATGTTGCCGCTGAAGTGATACTGGATGTCATCGATGACAAAGGTAGCGGTGAATTTGCTGCCACCGGCGAGACTCTTGATAAAGCCGTTTGAACAAGTACAAGCACAAGCCATCTATGTATAAATACATTAGTTGAAGATCGTAGTTTTGGACTGTTTGGGCATGAATTACCTTGATTGTCTTTGCGGTATTTCTTCGTTAGGTTTGCTCCCTGTAGAGGTAGGTAGAGATGAATGAAGATGCGAGATGGAGAAAGTGTAGAAAATGCAAAGGCCTTGCTCCCATATAAATACACTTTAAGCATCCGTTTCTTATGGGATATTCATACAACTTACGTGCCTCCGGGGTTCTCTTCTAGATGCAGAAAGTTACTATTCGAGATAACCTACCGACAGACTAATAACAGATGCATGCGGAAAAGCCATCGAACCATCACTATAAAATCCCAATTTTACACAGCATAACTCACACAAGGCGACGTTGGTCATAGTCTAGGAGTATAGGGTACCTACAATCTTATTACATGCTGTGTAATATTTTGCGATATTGCCACTCTTCGTGACCGTATGTCAAAATAATTTGTACCACATGTAACATAAGAACATGTAGTGTCCTGTCTGACCACTTCGGGTTCAAAGGTTTTAATAACATAATTATACTTCAGCTTGTATCTCTCCGATATAGAAGAGTAGTCGATATAGAAGAGTAGTCTACTATGTGATGAACTACGTTTGATTGATCATCGCTACATATGGCGTTATATTCGTTCCCAAGATTGAGTTGCAATTAGTTGCCCATGGTGTCGATGGGTTAATACACGTGAATATCACAGTTCAACAGCATGCTGCCACTCACTAGTTCTAGATGAAATATTACTGCATTTGGGTACGAACGCGGGCATTTGGGTACGAACGCGGATGCATTAGAAAGTCATACATTCACTAACCGGTAAAGAAACTGCTTCAAATCACCGGTGTAGCCTCCCGTAACAACTCTTAGAAGGTTCTGGTTGAAGAGTATTCGGGTGAGTACTTACCCAATGGTTCATAATACCCAGGTCGTTGAATGAAAAGATAGTCGGACTACGACCAGGGAGTTCGCCTCACCAGTTTTATATGAATAGCAGGGTTATCGTTTAGTTCGAGTAGACAAGGTATTAATGAAGAGCAGCATATACTATCTAGATGCCCCCAATAGACAGGTATCAAGTGAAGTCCAACCGTCGGCCCAGTATGTTTAGTCGTCAAACAAACTCAGCGAGAGCGAGCGCACAACTGGCATTGCCAAGAATAGCCCCTAGGAAGTAGGCTATTATGACAGACGATCTTCTTTCGGCTCAAAACCCGCGACACAAAACTACCTACGCCGTCCAGCCTCAGAAGGTAACATCCTCGGGCCCGATTCGCAAAGCAGTCGATTCCTTCAAGATCAGGTGCTGTCACGAGGTGGACCAAGAAGCCGGGAACCAACGAAGTTGTTTTGTTAAACCCTACGCTAACTATGGGAGCCTACGTCTATACATGCTGGAAATATCCTTTGTTCTAAACATCTCATCTAGAGTCCTAATAGGTCTCCTGTAATGGAAGAGACATTCTACTTGCGGGAAGGGATGCTTCAACGTCACGATTTCTATATTTTATACATGAATACCCTTTGGAAGGAGCAGTTTACTCAAGGCTGGTAGGACGCAAAGGGAAATAAATGATTAGGCGTGGGTAGTCAATATATTAGGGGATATTACATAATTAATATGGACATCCGAGTGTAAGCAACCTGTCGTGACAAGTAGTTGTTCAAACTTCACCATGATTACCTAGTAAAAGGAAGGGTACATTATTCTATCATCAACTTGTTCGCGCGATATAAGAGGTATCTAATGTACTTATTCTAAAAGGTACGTAGTTAGGCGTCCGACGCATTGGACAATATGCACTTTCTATGTATAGGAGTGCCAGGGTATTATGGGTCAGGGGTAGCTAACAGGGGTCTATCTACTATATAAGAGGCGCGAAGCGCCCTCGTAAGAGGATAGAAGGCCAGGCGTTACAAGATCAATACTACTATCTATTACTTGGTCTACCTATCCTAGACACTCACTCTGTGTATGACATCAATCGACGGGTATAAATCCTGACAAGGAGTATAGGAGTAAAGCCTTAGTCGAATACCTAGAGTCACTATACCATACCTCAGCAAGGCCAGGAAATATATCAGAATACTGTAATGTTTAAGAGGGACCCCCGTCGCAACCTAACACATTTTAGACAGCTGGTATTAGAACTTTCTCGGGGATGTGTGATCTACTTGCTCTGTTATGCAGGTTGGATTTCGGTGAGGTATTGTCATGGCGTTGTCGAAGATAAATTTAGCCTATAAGCACATATAAATCACTGATTGGCTCTTTACGAACGAGGCGCGATGTCAATAAGGGGGCAGGATGCATGGACGCGCCCGAAATGCTCGGGGTTTACGAGAGTTATAGGTTGTCATCCCCGAGTCTCATCCCGTAAGCCAGCCACATTAATTTATATACATCAACTTCACCCTTGAGCCACTCGACAAACGCCAAAAACCCATTGAATCATCCCGAGTAGCAAACGGGTCACATGGTACACCGATGTTTATTTCCCTGTCACAACTATCGTCGCCTCCCGCTATCCCCATCGGAACGAGATCTCGGAATTTTAAAATACAATATTACATCTATGAATAATATGGTTGGTATGGATTTAATATATAATAAAATGCCTTTTATACTATTGGAAAAATATTATAAGTCTCGAGCTAGGACAGACTTAGGAAATCCGGTTGAACACAATGTGAAATATAATATCTCTATAAAGAATATGGAAATTAACCGCCTTCAGTTGAAAGAGAACCTTAGGTATGTATTATTACAATCTAATAGCCATTCGTTTTAATTTAAACCCTTTCACATTCTTCCAAAGTTATCAAATGGTTCTAATCTGCAGGACCCGTCATTGTTAGCTCTGAGAGACTTTACTACTGGATACAATATGCATATGGCTCTCCACAGCTTGCACCGCAACATTAAGCTATACAATAAGAGCGGCCACATACGTCCGGTCGTACCCCCAACGAATTATTCAAGTGAAGGCCCTGTTAATGTATGGTTATACGTCCATTTACGCAGCGAGCCCATATTACCTTTGATTTTGGCCCAGTTGAGTGAATAGTATATGCACGCATACTAACCACTAAACTGATATGTTAACAGTAGTGTCGGTCTCATCAGATATTATGCGTCTTAAAGCCTCAGTTATTTCTTTACCGTGTTGGGGAAGTTAACAATACTCGCAATTTGGTTCAAACCCCCCTTTCCAGAAGACCACATAAGTCAGCAATGCTAATTCATTACGTATGCCATGAAGCTCCGTATGTGATGACTATATGTAATGTCTACAGCAATAGACTCGATCCAAAAGTTAAAGGTCTTTTAGCCTTCAAGACGGCCTACGTAATACTTAGTTTCGAGTTCCTCATCTTAATCCCGTTTATAATAAGTAACTAGCACGTAACATTAAAAGTCTGTTTCTCTTCTTGTATTGTGTGTTGAGAGTTGATAGGCCATATTTGGTATGAACTAGATACTATTCTCAAAACTACATGAAATGCAAAGGATCCTACCTCTCCAAGTTAGTGAATAATACTTATTTGGCAATAGCACGCAAAATTAACCCATGTTTATAGTATAGCTCTATCTAGATCATTTACTAAACCAACAAGTCACTCTTAGCATACACACTTATACACCGCAAGACATAAAACAGTTCAAAAGCAGGATATACCTGCCGTCTATTGCTTGTTATTATCTCATACACAGGCTAATCAGCCGCCCTTCCCGTCCCCCCTTTATTTTCTTTCCTCTAGAGACAAGGGCAAAGTAGGTTAGGTTGGTAAGTAGGTAGAATGTACAAGGGACAGGTGACGAAGTAAAAGGAAAGAAAAGGATATGCTTCCGTCTCTTGTGTCCTCCAGCTTACTCTACTCTCAAGCTCTGTAACCGAGCTTCGGTAGAGATGACCTAAATTACCGTTTGTTAGTATCCCTCTACACGAATTACTTGATAATATGTAGAAAACTTACATCTAATGCCTGTTGCACCTCGAGCACCTTCCTTACTTCCGCTAGCCAGTCTCGGCTCAACGTCTTGGCCCACCCTTGTAGACCGTTCATCTCGCGTGCCGCGGCATCCAGGTTGCCCTCCTCAAGAAGCGTCTGAGTTCGGGTGAGAATACTCTCAACATCGTCGCCAGCCGCTAAGCCTTGCTTCTTGAAGAGGACCTTGCTCAACAACCAGCTTGATGCATGGGAAGCTACGCCTGCATCATCCGGTAGTAAGCTAGCCTTCCTCACCTCATGCGCAACGCGACGGAAGCGGTCGATCAGTTGAGAAGGTGTAGCGATGCCACGTTGATACGCTGACGGGTTGATCGAACCGATGGCTGCGTTGACCACTGGGTCATCCGTAGCGATCTCCTTCAGGGCGATTAACTCTCGAACGAAAGGTCGTGGGTGCTCAGTGTCACTGAGACTGGCGCGCACAGCCTCGACAGCGACATGCAGCTTCTGGGTCTTGAGGGTCGTGTCGACAACATCATTCCATCCAGTCGTGAGCTGCTCCAATTCCCTGACAGCGTTACTTAATTGTTCTAGCTTGCCGAGTCTGCTATTTCGCTCTTCCTCAACACGGCTTTTGACTTCCCGCAAGAACTGGCGTTTTAGATCGACAGCCTGCTCGAGCAGCATATTTTTAAGCTTCGCCTCGTTGATCTGCTTTTCCCGCTCTATTTCCGTCTTGATTCTCGACTCATATGCAGCCTGGATGCGTTGCATCTCTTCCTCAAACTCTGCCCTCCACTGCTTCTCTTGCGCATTCATAACCTTCTCAACACGGCTGACCAACTCGATGGCTGCACCCTCGAAATCCTTAACCATGCTTGCCACTTGCGAGGCAGCGTCTTTTTCAACCTGGGCCTTCATCTCGCGGATCTTGGAGCCTACCTTGTTGAGCTCGCTCTTGGCCTTTTCGATGGTGGACGCAAAGCGGTCATCGGCATTGTCAGCGTTAACAACGGTGATGATATCATTAAGCATCTTGACCAGATCCTGGACTACGGGCTCGTCGGCGTCATTGACATTTAGAGGGTCAATGGGAGTAGGAGGGGGGAATCGAGAAGGCTCATCGACTTCGGGGGCTACGAAGCCGACGGTTTCCTTCTTCGGCGCTTCGGCTTTTTCTACGGCCTGAGAAGCCGCAGCGGGAGTAGGTTCCGGAGCCGCAGCCTCTGGTTCAGCGGGTTTCGGCGCAGGATTCGCTTCGGCAGGGGCACCTTTCTTCTCGGATCCTGAAGCGGCAGCATTTTTACTAGCAGTAATGTCCCGCATGGCACTTGACTGTCTGCCTGCAGGTTCGCCGGCGTCTGCAACTCTCCAAGATGCGCCACTTTGCGGCGATATCTTAACTTGAGCCCCGGTATCCTTACCCTGGCCACCAATGGTCAGACCTCCGGGATATCGCTTCTTATAGTCGAGCTCTTCGAAGTAGAGCACGGCTTGTTCACCGAATGGTATATATTCGGTGAAAAAGTCGTGGAAGTTGTCGCTTATGCGTGAATACCATACGCCACCACCGAAGGTTATGGCTCCTAGGAGTATCAGAGTCACGACATAATTATACAATCGACGGAAGAATCCCTTCTTCTTTCTCACGGGCGCCGGCGGGGGCGGGGTGGGTTTAGGGCTGGCCTTTTCTACCGAAGATTCTGATACAGGCGGAGGTGGAGGCGGCGTCTGGGGAATTTCCTTAGGGTCGATTGTTGAGGAAGCAATCTTAGATTCAGTTTTCAGCGCGGGGGGATCGCTCGACGCAGCAGTGGTGGTCTCAGATGTGGGCAGTTTCGCGGGTGTAGAGTCGTTTATTGAGGGTTTCTTGTTATCGGCATAATATCTCTGGTTGCAATTGATGTTAGCCTGAAGTGTTCTGAAGTGTTCTAAAGGTAGTGCTGGCGTTATGCCATGTTTGGTGACTTCATACCCTCCCAACTGCACCAGCCGATCGTGCGATCGCGGGCTGCCATTGATGGCCGACAGCAGCAGCAACAGGCCTGCTGCCTACGGCCCTGACAGATCGCAACGATGTCCGCAACATGAGGGCATCGAGTGGGCCTTCAAAATGCGATTGCCGTTGCTAGGTTGTGACTGGGGTTGTTGTCGTTGGCGAGGGATTATATGATGTAAAAACCTCGGGAAGCTTTTTTTAAAGCTGCACGTCGTTTTCGAGGCAAGTTGCGTTGGGCATAGGACAATCCCGGCAAGCGCAAAGTTGCTCGGTCTAGTGGGACCTGGCATGTACATTGGTACGTACTTTATTTATTTTTTAATTTTAATATTATGTAATCATTAATTACTTCCAGCATCACCACATGCACGCAGCATTACAGCATCACACTTCCAGGTTTTACATGCTGTAAGTGGTACATACAAATTATACCTTAGGTACATCATATACAAACCATAATGCAGATATCCTATCAAAGCTGATTTAATAGTATATCTCGTCTCGTCGTGAAGAAATGTTACTCTATTGCATTACTCGTCGAGCTATATACGTGGTAGCCCGGCAACGTTCAGTCTCAGTCCTAAGTTCGTCTCAAGCCACACGCATACGTACCTCTAGCTCATGACCGACTGCAATGCATCCAGCAGCCAAGCCTGTACCTTGAGAACTCGATTAACAAAAAAAAATCAGGTATTAAAAAAACGATGTATGCCCTCCTGCCAAGAAACTCCCAACGAAATATACACTTGAGCATCTCGCGCCTATCTTCATGCTTCTTAAATACGTCCAGTCGCCATTTCAAGCCGGGTCTGGATAGTAGTTTGGCCCGAACAGTCCTGCAGAGCCTGATAGAGTGCTCTTACTCGAGCGTTGCATGACATCAATAACATAATGCTTGAGAACACAATCATAGCACTGAACAGGTAGTTCAGTGCCAGATAGATCAGCAGGCTACGATAGAATTCGCTGTACCAGGTCTCGGTAGTATCCAGTAGCTCCCAGAACTGCCTCTAACATGCGCAAGGCCCTCCTGATTGTGTATTTGCACCCTCCGGAGCCAAGCTAACGCCTCCCGGTCGCTGTCCAGGTCTGGTATGTCGGGGACCGACTTGATCGAGCGGCAACTTCTTCGCGATGGCGGTAAATAGTTCCCGGACATTCTCTGCAGTCTTAGCCGAAGTTTCGAAGAACAATAATCCTGCCTCGTTTGCGTAGGCCTCAGCATCAGCAGTCGAGACGGCTCGCTTATCGGGTTGTTCGCTAACTAAATCCAGTTTGTTTCCGGCAAGGGCAATGATAATGTTCTCGTTCGCTTGTCTTTGCAATTCCTTTACCCAAGCCTTTGCCTTATCGAGGGATGCCTATGTTTACTGTCAGCCCACCTAACCACTATTTCTTTGTTCCTAGTGGACGTACGGATTGGGTGATATCATAGACAACGACGGCGCAGTTCGCATTACGGTAGTACATGGGCGCAAGGGACTTGTACCGCTCCTGGCCGGCAGTATCCCAGATCTCAAACTTAACAGTAGTGTTCTCATCTAAGGAAATGGTTTGTGTTAGGAAAGCAGCGCCGATGGTGGATTCGCGATACGAGTCGAATTGATCCTAGATAGGCATTAGACAAAGGCATTTTATAGAGTACGTGAAGAAGCCATTTACCTTCACAAATCTCAAGACTATGGAGCTCTATTTTTTGGAAGAGTTAGCAAACGATGCTGCCTAAAATGGGCTTGCTGGTGAGATAGTTAGGTACCTTTCCAACCGCAGATTCTCCTGTGTCCTAATTAGCATACAATGCTACAAATATCTGAAGTCGTGATACATACCTAATAGTACTAACTTAAACTGCGCGAAGCGGCCGGTCACACCACCCCTAGCTGCGGGCCCTGGTCGAGAAGCCATGACAGATGGTGAACGGGATCTGAAGATATCTCGAGTCTTTGGGAAGAGATGGAAGTCAAAACGGACAGGGATGGAGGGGAGACAGAGGCGACGATTGATAATGGAGACTTTATGGGGTCTGTCTTATCGGAAGGGAATTATTATCGTCAATCCTAACGGTATAGAATCAACGACGCAGTAACCGGGGGGTAACGGAAGACAGGCCGTAAAGTAGTAATCTGACTCTGAATGTTCGTACGAGAAAAAAAGGACGTTCGGGTATGAAATTAGCTTCGTGGATAAACGAGAGGTTGTTCGGAACAAGATGGGTTAAAGTGTGAAGTGTGTTGATTGATTATTGCCTTGACTACGTTGCGATGTTGAAGGAAGCTAAAGGTTGTTGAAGAGTCCATTGCGCTCTGAATGGTGAGTGGCTGAGCAGGTGAGCGGCGGTGGAGCAACACGTCGTCAGGCTCGGGTAGTCGGTGCGTTGCAGGTGGCTACAGTGGAAACCACATGCAGCAAGTGAATGATATACGGTGAGCTGCTCTTTATCGTTTAGTTAGTTAAATAGCACGTGATTGACTTTATCTACTGTGATTTATAGTGCTCTTTAACTGTATTAATTCACTTATACGATATTTCCTTAGGTGCTTTAAAGTTAACACTATGTAACTTCCATGGATAAGACAGGGGATGGACTTCGGTTCCTTATCATAGGAGGTACCTAATGTATATAGACCGTGCACATCCTAGAAATAAACCTTGTTCCCTTTCTTGGCATCTACCATCTTGGCATCTTTGCGACCGGTCCAGCTGTCGAAATCCCCTTTCGGGAAATATAGATGTACACTATTTCATCAGCGGCAAACCCATAGGGAACCCATAGGGATTAAAGAAAGCTGCGCAACTTCGCTTCAACTACCAAAACGACGTGCTCTCACGGTCGTCTCACCTTCTTTACACTCCTTGTCGTCCTTACATGTTGATTTCTCCCTCTATTCTTCCCATCTTCCCATCCTGTTATGAGTGCGTGCTGAGCATCACCATCATACAGCTAGCTCATCATGACGCTCCCCTACCGGGACATTAATGTCCACGTAGCAGCAGACTCCTATACTTTTACATCGCCCTCCTCCCCTAATGCCCCGGCTCTTATTGTTGACCGCCCTACAGGTGATGTGAGATTAAGCGAAGCTTCTCACTTCCCTAGCAAGCGTGTCTCTCGTGTTTCTAGTATACCTGGTATACTAGGCTTTCTTAGACTTAGACTTGGTATTTCTCCGATTCCCTCCTTACGGATATATACCTATCTTTGCAAGACTAACACAGCGCAGACAAGTATGTTATCGTCATTACAAAGAGCCAGCCCATGGGCCGCCTTAAGGGCCACATGGTTTACAAGATTATCTCGACCGAGTTTCTCCCTATGCGCGAGCGACAGATCCGCGACCCTGATGAGGACCAGTTCCTATCGCTTCTCAAGACTTACATCATGAAGGGACCCATGTACTTCTCCTATTCTCTCGACCTCACGAACAGTTTCCAGAGACAAGCTACTATGGACAATTCGAGCCCACTCTGGATGCGAGCCGACGATCGTTTCTTCTGGAATAGATTTGTGCAATCAGACCTCATCAACTATCGTAGAACAGGCAACCGATCGCAACCAGGACCCCAACCGGGTGCTGACCCTTATATCCTACCAGTTATATGGGGAACGCTCGAGATCCGACCGACTACATTCAAAAACACACCCCTGACTCTTGTTCTCATCACTCGTAAAGCAAGACACCGAGCCGGAACCAGATACTTCACCAGAGGTCTGGATGAGGAGGGACACGCTGCCAATTACAACGAAACAGAACAGATTGTCGTTTTGAATGACACGGGTCGAGGTCTGGGTGGATATGCTGGAAGTACCGATATGCAAAGCGGCAAATACCGTACTTCGGAAGGGGCAGAGACGCAGGTATTATCTTACGTCCAAACACGAGGCAGCGTACCTGTATATTGGGCTGAAATAAATGCGCTCAAATATACCCCTAAGCTTCAGGTCAAGGGTATCGAAACAGCCCTTCCAGCAGCCAAGAAGCACTTTGACGAGCAGATTCGGATTTACGGAGACAATTATTTAGTAAACCTAGTCAACCAGGGTGGGCGAGAAAAGCGAATAAAGGAAGCCTACGAACAGATGGTGCAGATGCTCGTTTCGTCACCAACAGACAAAGTCAAAGGTGACGCGATCACTGACGAGAAGTTCCACATTATTGAGCCCAGTTCCTCGAAACAGGAATACGACCGTCTACATTATATCTACTTCGACTACCACCACGAGACCAAGGGCATGCAGATGCATAAGGCCATGTTACTCGTCGAGCAGCTTCAAGATGCTCTCATAAAGCAACAGTACTTCCGCGGTGTAGATATGCCCGCTAATGGTGGTATCGAAACTAGAAACTTCCAGACCAGCGTTGTTCGGACGAACTGCATGGACTCTCTCGACCGCACAAACGTTGTTCAGAGCATGCTGGCGCGATGGACGCTGGACCGCATGTTTGTCGACCTTGGTCTGCTCCAGCGAGGCGAGACATTCGCCACCGCAGACACGGCTTTTGAATTCCTCTTCCGGAACATATGGGCTGATAACGCCGACACTGTGTCCAAATCGTATGCGGGCACTGGCGCTATGAAGACGGATATTACCCGTACAGGCAAACGTACAAAGGCAGGTATCATGCAAGATGGCAACATTGCCGTTACAAGATTCTACCTAAACAATTTCCGAGACGGCCCCAGACAGGACGCCTTCGACCTCTTCCTAGGTGCCTACGAGCCCGCGGCCGCTAACATCGGCTCCTCGTTTATATTTGCGGACCGCAGACCTATCCTCATCCAGAGCATCCCCTACGTTCTTGCCTTCAGCATATTTTTCGTCTTCGTAGGCCTCTTCACGAGGCGCCTTCCAGGCTCAACCGTCTGGACTATTAGGCTCTTCATCCTATTCTGGTTGTTGGTCGCCGCCTGGAGTTTCAACTTTGTTATTAATAACGGGATGCTCTACGTAAGTTCCTTGCTCCCTTTGTTTCGCCTCTTGGTTCTATATAAATATCTCTATTGTAGACAAGTACTAACACAATATTATAGGTCAACTGGCCCAAACTCAACCCGCGACCCTGGGCCACCGAGGGCTACCAGAACACCATCACCAAGATCCACAACGACGCGCTGCTCGGCCCGTTCGTAGCTGGACACGAGCGCGGATTAAGCACCGCCCGCTATCTCAACGCGGAAGAGGGCAAGAAGAGGATCGAGTAAGGGGAAAAGGAGGAAATGCCGATGGGTTTTATGTATTTTTACTTTATATTGTCCCTTCGACCCGGTTGGCCCATTCGACATTACGCTCTAGCATAATTGCATAATTTGTCTTCACCTTGTTGTCTGCATGTCGTGTATTTAGATATTCGTTTGGAGTTTGCATTTGGTAGTTTGTCATCCGAGGTGTCAGTGTACAGCAAGCAAAGCATTAATGGTAATATTGCCCCAGTCTCGATTCTGCTATTTGCCTACCTCCTACGTACCTACATGTAGCTTGCCCCTATTTCACTATCACTGCTTAAAGTGTACCTGCATGACGTATTTCCGCTTAAGCCACGAGCTTCAAATACATAATTCGAGAATTAAGGAACGCAGCCATGAGCAGAAACTTATTATTCTTATTACACAATCATACAGTTGAAAACACCCGGTAATAGAAGCGCGTATATCGTACACGTACGTACAACTGGTCTTCCGATCCCTTTTTTTTTTCCAATCCGCGCAATGCATAGTTATTAGTAGTACTCCGAGTTCATGCCGACCCCATCCACATCACACAACTGTGATTCTTCCTCAACGCACAACATAGTATACCTCTCTTCTCTTCTCTTCTCTCACAGCCACACTCTACTCTACTCTAAAGACTAGATAAACCACGCTAAAGGAAACGGTAACACTGTAAGGAAAAAAGTAGGCAGGTAGCATTGATAACAGTTGGACATGTATGTTTTACATGAGATACATAAAATATTGAAAGAGAAAATTCGCCCGTGTGAGCTAAGTCGGTAGTAGTGTAGTAAGAGGTAGTAATAAAGAGTCATAAGAGAAAAAGGGAATTGGACAGAAGAGGAAAGGAAAAAAAAAAACCGCAACACAACCACAGGGGGTATCATTACCAAAAGATTATCGTCCAAACAAATCCTCCTCCTATACTCGGTGCTCAACGTATCAAACCACAGAATAACGCGGTATCTCGTCGTCTGGATATTCTTTCTCTCAAGGCTATAGCCAGAGCAACCACCTCACGACACCTACAACGCCCTTCCCCACGCCTAGTACTATACGGGCGAGCATGACTACGAACCAGACGTACCACATGAACCCGACGAGCACCCATTCGACAGCGAGCCAACCTGCACGGCGAGCCCACCGGAACCGACGTCTTCGACGCCGCAGCATCTTATCCATGGTATCCGTCACACGCTTCGCCTTAAGTCGCTGTGCATCCACCAGGTCGCGGTTTACCTCGTCCGCTTCGTCCGCCGCACGTCGCGTCATCTCCATTAAGTCGCCGCCTACACGGTCATGTAAGACATCCACGCGCCGGTACAGCGCAGGCACGGTCTCACCCGCAAAGCGCGCTCTGCTGGTCTCCGAGGCCTGGATCGAGCGGGCGATGCTCTCCGAGAGTATCTGCGCTGTAGCCGGGTATAGTTGCGCCTCCGACACAACGATGCTGGATGATTTGTCCGGTAGGAACTGGCGGATGCCTGTCCACGGCAACCCAACGGCCTTGTCGTCAAGCGTAGAGAGCGTGTATTGCTCGTGCGCACGTCGCGAAATTTCCATCGCCTTGATGCCGGAACACAGGATTAACGCGCGCATACGTGCGATCTCGCGCCTAGAAATCTGTGTGCCTTGGGGTGTCTGGCTACCGTTAGAGATTGACCAGTGGCGGGCGCTCTCCGAGAGCGTCCGAGAACCGAGTCGGGGTCGGTATCGGTTCTGCGAAGCTGGAAGAGACGGTATATCAGCCAAGTCTATTAAGGTGTCCCGCGGCCTATCGATCGAGTCGCGTGGGCGTGATTCCGTATCGGAGACATCTGAGTCGCGGAGCAGATGGGGCTTGGTGTGTTCCAGTTCCGACGGAGGCGAAGCCTTGCGGATGTCGATCCGAGGCGGTTTCAGTCGGTCAAACCTGGGCGATCTAGTAGATTGTGATGTGGTGTGCGTTAGAGCAAGGGGTTCCAGCTCTCCAGAGATCGGCTTATCGTAGGATACCGACGCCGATTTGAATGGAGGCATGACATTCAGGTAGTTCTTCTGGCGGTTGCTCTCGTCCCGACGTCGCGAGTTGCTACGAGACAAGGTAAAAGAATTCCTAAGTCTACCTCTCTTAGAGTCCTCCTCTGAATCTTCGCTCGACGAAGATGACGAAACATCCTCAGCGTCAGAATCCTTCTTCCATAAGAAATCAGTGACTTTAGAAACGCCACCCCGTATCATGCCATCTAATTTGGCGCCTCCTTTAAAAATAGTTCGAAGACCGACCTGCTCATCGGGTTTTAGTTTAATACTTCCCATGCTACGGTGTGATTTATGACTCTCGTTGGTATTTCGCGGGTTGAGCTTGCGTGTGAGGCTCTTAGACCTACGCCGATCAGGCGAACCAAATCGCTCCGTAGTCCCAGTAGAGGGACTTAGTAGCTCAGGCTGCTCGGTAGGACTATCCACCTTGTCACCTTTATCGCGGACCAAATGATCAGCACCACGTTCTCGCTCCTTACTACGATCGCGGAAGATACTCTTAACCCTTGAGAAAGGCTTTCGGCCGGGAGACCCTGGTCGGCTATCAGGCGGGGAAATATCCATGCCAATAGTTGGCACATAAATATTACGGCCTCGCGATCTTATCTCTGGCGACTCCGGCTGAGAAGAGTCCAACTCCACCGATAATCTATAATTCTGACCAGGGACCTCGAGACTGGCACGCCCCGACCCTGCCGGAGACCCTTGTAATGCTCTTCCACGGCTGGCTTTATCATAATTATCAATGATCTCAACTCGTGAATCCCTATGACTATGCATCTGCTCCAGAGTATGGGAAGTCTTCTCAGGCATCGCCATGTTTGCAGGCAGTTGCTTGAGGCGCCCAATATCAGCCTCATCCGAGATTTTCTGCTCCTCATTAACTTCCTTTGCCAACATTTCCATCATCTGTTTTTCCAGCAGATCCGTGCCGTTAGCACTAATAGTACCGGTACGGTTTCGTCTCTTGCGGTCACTCTCACTATCCGACGTATCTGACAATGAACCCCTCCTAAATCGTAAGAAGTCATGGCTATGAGAAGCATTATTCGGTTTGTGGTGCATTCCCCTTAGATCTTGAAGTTTTTGACGGGCACGCTCCCGTGCGCTTAAAGAAGGCATCTCGAACTCTACTTTAGTTGGACTAGTATGATCTGTCTCTGAAGCAGCAGTGACATCGCCCACGTCGCCTTCCTTAGTAGAAGATGCGGAAAGAGTAGATGTAATAGGTTCATTTGCCTGGTAGGATATCGGGACTTGGGCTTCCGGCTTTCGCGAGAAAATCTTGGAATAATGACGGTCTTCAAGGAGATATTTGTTATCTCCCTGTTCTAGCCAGTAGGCATCCGCAAGCATATCTGCGGGATCGATGGTCCAATCGATTCTTAACCGTTTAGGCTTCGCTATTGTTGAGATGGGTCTCGGTATATTAGAAGGGGGGAGGTCTTGATCGGGACGTTCGTGTGCTCCCGGAAAATGAGGAAGTGAAGAAGACCCAAGTGATAGGGCCGACGTTGCTGCGGATGTTGCTGCTTCGTCAATCCAATCTGTCACCCTTGAAATATCTGAGAAGCCTTGCGCCTCTCCATCAATAGCTTTGCGTTCCCGGGCTCGGACCTTTCGGTTCCGAATATATTGAAGGGGGTTGTAAGCCCGACCCAGTGAGACTTGCGGTGCGCCAGTAAGAGGGTTCAGGGGTGATCCAAGAGATACGGAGGGCGTTGAAAGATTAGAAGACGAAGGTCGGGAGCGGACATCCTGTTTAAGTGGCGAGAGAAATTGTAGTAACCTTCTGTATTGAGCCATCAATTCGAGGTATTCCTTCGCCTTCTGAGCCCGATTAAGAGTTGAAGACGAGAAATGGTACTGATAGCTACCATCATGATCGAAAGACTGCAACGGGCTAGTCATTGTCGATGCCGACATAATCCTCGGAGACAAACCTTTATCGGGTCTTGGCGACATGTTGCGGGAAGTCCTTCTCTGTTGCTGTAAGTGCTGCTTAAGACTACCCCCAGCCAGACTATCAGGAATTTGGGCAAGTCGGGGAGGGATAGGACTCGACATATTTCTCCTTTCCGCCATACGCCTCGATTCACTCAAGTTGAGAGCCATGTTCACAATCTGAGTGGAATCGACATCGAGGGGGGCCGTGCTTGGTCGCGGAGTTGGAGTTGGGATCCTTGAGATTCCTCGTCCACTATGGCTATGCCGTCTCTCTTCATCGGGGATTGGACTTATTGTTCGCTGTGTTTGGCCATCACTCGACCTCCTCATTTCCTGCCCATCAATGCCCAGTCCCATCCGAGGGATACCAGTTGCATTCAACTTATCCGGTACAGCAAGAGACCCCTTTCCCTTGCGGCTGTCTACCGGTAAACGTGATTGCCTACGACCATCATCCCGACTCGTCGACCTTGGCTTAGACGGTTCGTTAATAAGGGGATTGGCGAGGAGAAAGCCTCCACTCGATCGGGGTTTGTGTGGCCGGCGCCGTCTATGCACCTCATGATTCAGGTCCTTACCTCCCTGATCCGGCGCATGGGAGCTCGAGTTCGATTCGTCGGGGTCTATGCGAGAAGAATAGGATAGGGTCGTTGTACCCGTTGAAGGCTCGTTAAGGCTTGCAGCAGCGCTAGATTCGCCGACCTCGTAACTACCACGGCTATGTGAGGACCTTGCCGTCGGTAATCGGCTTTGGTAGGTGGCAAACGAATCGCCACTATTGTCCTTCATCGTGCCCATGGCATCAGCCTTATCAATATATCTTCTCGCATGCCATAGAACACCCCCAAGGGTCTAATGGGTAATATGCTATCGCTTTTGAGGTTCCCCGTCGACAGACCTAGACATTTTGGAGGGTTCCGACAAGTTGAAAGAACAAGGGGGTCTACAACAAAGTGCTTGGTTGCTTGGTTGCTATGTAGATGATAATTTTAAGGGTGACTTTTATACTCTTTATTCAATGTTTCGCAAACATTCTATTAACCGCCGGTGTTTCCTGCATAAAACGGACTCTATTGGGTATCGTCGAAACTCATAAATGGTGTGAAGGTCGAAGACATCTCAAAGATGGAG